GCTCTTGACAGCCGCATACGCCGTACTCTCCCATTCAAGGTCGCTGCTGTGTTTGCTTGAAAGTGGGCACTCGCGCAAACCTTAAAAGGGGATGCTCGTCTTTCTCTATACAAAATGCCCCATTAGCCAGCCCCGGCTTATGCACAACCCATCTCTGATGACAGCACTATATCCGTGTTTTTGTGCAATTCTAATTTTTACCTCTCTTGCTTTTACTTTTGCCGACGAAAATAGACTTGATTAAAGTATTGCAATCTCGTTTCGAGCCAAATGCTAATGTTAATCGAGCTATGTCGTATTATACGACATTGAGACTCGGCAAAGTCGTAACTTACGACGTCGGGAACCAAGGGGTTAAAAAGGTCAATGTCCTGTTGTGTTGGTACTCTTTCTCGCAATCTTCGTAGCGCTTCAAACCATTCCGGGTCATCCTTCCCTCTATGTTGACTGCTTAACGAGCATACGCATTTAATTTCCTCCCAAATTCCGCGTCCTTTGCGCTGGATATTGTCACGTATTCTATCTGTGGATGTCGCTAGAGAGTAAGGGGTTACAGGATCCAACTGGGCACTGTCTCCCGTGAAAATGGCATCTCTTCCACCAAATCGGACCTCGCGCTGATCAGGCCATATCTCTCGCATTCTTTGGTCTATCCAATATAGCATTCCACATGATATTACGCTAAATTCGTCAATTATTACCAGGTGTATATCCCTGAAGCGCTGCTGTAGAGACAATAGCTTAGCTGGGCCGTTTTTTTTGCGTGGTCATTGCGACGTAAGGTTTGGAAAATCTTTGTTTGTGACCGGGGGATTGCTGTAAATTGAAATGAAATGCTTCTCGCTGATTTTTGCCCATGGCCGCACATATTTTGTCCTAAATTCGCGTGCTCTATTGATGTCTTCGTTAGAGTAGTTGTGCTTTGGCTTCCATTGAGTATGAAGGTCTGCAATAAGTTTTTTATCTCTCTCGATTTCCATCTCATGCTCATTGAGGTGCTCATCAGGTTCTTCGATGAAAACATACTCGGACGGGGGCGGATTAGTGCAGCATTGGTTCTCGCGAGAATTCTTCAGACGATTTAATTGACATTGCCTCGTTACCTTTAAATTCACTTCAGTTCGGAGTTCATTGTCGAGGTTTTTATTTTGTTCGTCGTAGAACCGACTAATACAGTCATCGTCAGTAATCGGTAAGTCGCTTAAGTGTCTCCAAGGAACGTGTAAAAACAACTCAGCAAAACAAAAGTTAGGGTTTGATGTGTCTGGAGCCATCCATGGCGACATACGAAGAACTTGGGCTTTTCGACGCTGTCGTAAAAACCTAGATTATCGATTCGCTTCCAATACTTCGCTGTTGAGGTTGCGCTTTCAACTACCTCATACTGCTCTACAAACCTAGCATATGACATCGACTTAAACGGTTCTTCCTGAGGACGCGCCATGTAGGCTTTTTCGTATGATTCAATTTTAATATTATCGAGTTGAGGCGGTTTGTCGATGCCCAAGTTCCGTAAGGCTTCGGTAATATCGCAAGTGATGACGCAAAACCTTCACTCGGCTTACTTTACGAGACTTACCATACATTTTTAATTCTCGAAGCAGTATGAAGTAAGCTTCTTGGGCACTTACCTCACGAACAGCCAATGTGGCGTTAGCTATTCTTTTAAGAATAGCGTAGTAAGGGAGATTCGGGTCACATCGCTTAACAGCTGCAGCGACAGTGCTTCGGAAGCGCAATGTGTCAGGTTCGGCTTTGCTCACGTAAGCAGCAGTATATTCGGCAGCGCAGTACGCGTTTCCTATCATCTGAGTATCCATGTTTGCGCGCCAAGTCGAAAGAATTATTGGCGAAAAATTGTTTACCGAGGGTGAGTCTCTATTTAATAGTACTTTTAATGACGGGGTACCGTCAGGTGCAGTTTTTACCTCAACTTCAGTGCGAGGATGAAGAGTTTTGGGAAAGCCAAATCTACATTCGTCGGCTTTCTTTCGACAAGAAGATCCACTGTAGCATACATGTTGCTGCACTCGGCGAGCTAATCGGGAGATATCGCATGCCCATTCATCTGAATTGCCACATGGCGGTCGCATTGCCAAAATATCAATGCTTGCAGACCGTGATGACTTACAGACGGAGCACTGGCACGAATCTAGGTCATCGAGCGACTTTATCAATACAGAAATATACTTGTCAAGGACATCAGGGGCATCTTTTATCCACAATAGTGCATGAATATGAGGTGAGCCTCTTTGCTGAAACTCAACTCGCCAAAAGAGATCAATAATTTCACCCAGAGGTTGGCTTGGGCCGCGAAGTACGTGGTCGAAAAAAGCTTTAAACCTTCTGTTAAAATGCCTGGCAGCCAAATCAGGGTTTTCGTTAAGGTACTTACGTCGTTCTTTAGACGTTAGATGTGCAGCTCGTTCCATAGTCAATGAAGGATTGCAAGCCCTAAAGAAATCGGGCCATACTGTGTCTGCCGCACTCAACGTTAAGAAAAAAGTTGGCCATCGCGTGGGAAGCAGGTGTCCGAGCAGGTGAAAGCGCGACTGGCCGGCCGAGACGATCAAGAACGACTACCTATCTATAACTACTCTGTGCGATGTGGCGGAGCAAAAACCGCTGGTCCCTCAGAACCGAAGGTTCCTCGGACCCCGGGGTGAAAACCGCTTATCGGACAGTCTATCCTAATCATAGCCATGGGGCTCTCCAGCATGAGCGGGTCGCTGAACTTGATGCAGCTGAGCGCGAACCATGACTGGGCTCTAGTTGTGGGAACGTGGCTTTCTCCTCTTGTGCAGGAAAACTTAATTTCCACCTCGCTTCGCTTGATGGAAATACCGAAGTATGCTGCCTACGTTCTCACCACTTTCAGTGGTACTTTGAATGTCATTCCTATGAGGCGAATTTTAAATGAGGGGCATATGGTTTGTGCTGGCCGTGAAGGGCGTCTCATGAAATAGTTTTCGAAGGGGTATCTCGTTAGGTTTCCCTAAGACATTAATAAAATAAGCACTGATCCAACCTCTTGCAAGTACAGAGCCTCAATCTTAAACAAAAAGCGGCACAAAGACTAAAAGGCGCAATACACGTCAACTCGGGGACCTACTGGCCACGAAAGGATTGCTAATGCAAGTGTTGCTAAAGCGCTGAGAAATTAACATTATTCCTGTTGTCCTGTTGCTACCCAATTGCCTACCGTTATTCGTTTTCAAAAGTACAACTATTTTCAGCGTACTTTTGCGCGGAGGTAAGATTAACCGAGAGTTCCAGGGCTCGGCAACGGTGTAGTAGTGCACTGAAGGAAAATGTCAGGTTATCAAAATCGATCAGCAGAAGATTAGACAGCGGAGGACCGCAAAACCGACCAAGCAATTGATGCAGCTTGCTATACAAAGCAGCTACGTCAAAGTACACAACAGTTACAGATAAAGCAAATCGAACAGACTATCAACACTGGCGGATAGCTCCAAGAAAGCACTTCAAACGTTGTAGAACCTTCAAAATTTCTCCCATATTCTGTCAGTGATCGCCAGGATATAGGAAAAATTCGGAAATTCCCGTATTGGTAGAGGTCTGCGCATGAGGCATGCGTGTGAAGTGTTGATACACTATCTCGATACACTCGCTTACTCCTAGCACCACAGGTCAACTAAATGAAGTTTGACGACAAATTAAATGATTTCTCAGCGTATCAGGCTGTTAAGCTTTCTTGTATGAAAAGGTTTCGATCGGCTCGGGGGGGGGGGGCATCGCGAAATTTTGTGTAGAGCACAATATTTAGTGTCGCCCCAAATTAGCAGCGAGGAAGCGCAGTGAACAAGGTGCTCAGCTAGTAATAATCACTGCAACTGGGCCAATGGCGGGGCGTCAAGTGAACCTGCGGTGCCACGTCACACTGGATCGCTCGATTGGCTAATCAGATGCCTGCTGTGAGTTGCATCGGTCAGGACAGGGTACGTGTTCTCGTAGGTCTTAATCGAATGCATTTACGCGTCAATCTACTTTGTTTTTCCAGCATTTATGAACTTGTACTAGATCACACAGGTTTCAGCTTCAGCGTGGCCCGTTATCAGCGACACTTCAAGGGACGAAAAGGGTACACTGCCTGCCCCCCGCTTCCTTCGCCTCCTTTGCTGTTCATTCCTGAATCTGCCTAGCCTCGCTCAAGTCCCAAGCTTCCAGTCCTCCCCGCTAACAACCACCCACCATGGCCAAGATCGCTATCATCTACTACTCCACCTACGGCCACATCGCCAAGCTCGCCGAGTCGGCCAAGGAGGGTGCCGAGTCCGTGGAGGGCGTGACCGCCGAGATCTACCAGATCCAGGAGACGCTGCCCGAGGAGGTCCTGACCAAGATGCACGCGCCGCCCAAGAAGGACCACCCCGTGGCCACGACGGACGTGCTCAAGGAGGCGGACGGCATCCTCTTCGGCTTCCCGACGCGCTTTGGCTCGCTGCCGGCGCAGGTCAAGGCCTTCTTCGACTCGGCCGGTGGCCTGTGGGCTGCCGGTGCTCTGGTCGGCAAGCCGGCAGGTATCTTCTTCAGCACGGGCACCCAGGGCGGCGGCCAGGAGACCACGGCGTTCACTGCGCTGACGTTCCTGGCGCACCAGGGCCTCACCTTCGTGCCGCTGGGCTACCGCGCCCCGGAGCTCTTCAACATGGACGAGATCCACGGCGGATCCCCGTGGGGCGCCGGCACTCTGGCCAACGGCGACGGCTCTCGCCAGCCGTCGAAGCTGGAGCTGACGGTGGCCACGACGCAGGGCAAGTCGTTCGCCGAGGTGGCCAAGAAGCTGGCAGCTTAAGTGCGCATTTGCTCATGAATGAGACCGTAGTATTTGTTGTCTCGGCTATACTATATTCTAATTCGGATGGGAATGAAAGCCTAACTCATTGCCACCTCAAGCCAACGTGTCATCCCCCGTCTATTTTTCGCTTGTGTGTTGTGTACCTTGCCTTGTCCATGCAATGGACGGCCTAGTGTCGGCGATGGAGGCGGCGGCACTATCGTGGCAGGACCGTGTCCGTCGAGGGCTGACGAGTGACGAAGTGCGGGCTCGACTGCACACCTACTCGACGCTGTCGGCCAAATGCAGCGAGTCCAAAGAGACTCAGAAGCAGGTGGGGCAGCTCTTCGGAGGACCTAGGAGCGGAACCGTGTCACGCTTTGCTGGGTCCTCGCTGCTGAACGTTCTGTTCGACGACCTGCGCTCCACCGATCGGACGCTGCGCATTGCAGCGGCTCGTGTGCTTTGCCTCATGGCGTACGAGAACCTGACGAACCAGCAGTTGATCATACGCAGTCAGGCCGGAGGAGACGAAGAGATGGTGGGCGTCACCGTTGGCTGGGTGCACGCCTTCTTCATCCCGCAGTCGCTGCGAGATCGGTACGAGGCGCAATGCGAAGAGCGCGGGCTGTTCACGACCCCCACCGGCTTAAATGAATTCGTCTCGAACATTATCAAGGACAACTATGCATCGGCGTACACTCGAATCGGACGCTACTATGCCGGCGGTTGTCGCGAATTCCTGCCGCTTTGCTGGTTTCAAGCGCTGGTGAACGATTCATCCGAAGCAACGGACATGCTCGACGTCCCCGATCCGAATGAAAACCTCGTGGGTTTTTACCTCGTGCCTAGACAAATGCAGTTCCCAGAGCAAGACGACTGCTTCCTTCAGGAAATTCTGTCTTCAATCCGAACAGAAGCAGAGCTTGCACGTCTCCAGCGAGTGCACGCCGCTTTCCAACAAGTCGCATTCCGAGCGCCAACGAAAGAGGCGAGCTCCGCTGCACTAAAGACTGCACTGGAAGGGATACTGAAACGCGCAACGGCGGCGATGGATAGCAAGGAAGAGGCTTTCATGATGAACCAGCAACACTCCAATCTTTTACGCTGGTTGGAGGCATCTCCCGATCGCAATGTGACCTGGAATGAGTTGCTGGTTTGGTGCTGCACCGATATGAATTCTGAAGCGTTGCTTAAACGCTTCGGTGCCGATGCATGCAGAACTATTGGTGATGTTTTTCAAAGGTTAATGCTTGATAGTGGAAGTTTACAACGTCAGAAGGATCAAGTCAAGTCGTGTGTATGGGAACCTGCTCTGGTCGGCACCTTGTTGAATCACCCAGACCTCCCGGAAGAGCTCAAAGCAAACATACAAAGTTTATCAGGTACTTACGCTAGCCATCCTGATCTTCCTCGTAGAAATTCCCCAACGAAAACGTCCTCTAGCTTGGATGATGAAGCGCTGAATCGTCCGTGGGAGTATTTGATGCGGCTCGAGCTGGCGGAGATCCACCCGATTAGTTGGAGTGTGTTTCTTAGCAAGTGGCGCCAAAGTGCAGACGCGAAACCCGAAGGAGACGTAGTGCAGATCTACCACCAAAACGAAAGAAGACACCATTCTGTCCATGAAGGTGCACATTCCTCCGTGCTCGTTGCCCGCAAGAACGCCCTCGTCACGGCGTCTCCCAACCACCGCATATTTCACAGCTTTCGCGACTTGAACCAGCTCCGACAGCAACTGCCTTTAATCACCAATCGACCGAGTGAGATCCGTGAAGAAACCTTCGAGGGCCCATCGACCACCGATCGGTTGCTCACTGCGAGGACTCGCTTAAGCGAGGCAGAGGAGCGGGAACTGGAGGAGAACCGCAAACTATTTCGTAGATTACAGGAGTCTTCAACGAATCTCGACGAGCTTACACGACAACAACTGGAGGAGAAGCGGGTAGCTCGGGGTAAGGCCCACGAGAGAGCTGCAGAGAACCGAAAGAAGAGTGCACAACTCGTTGTCCAGCGTCAACAGGAGCTGGAGCGCACGAAACGCGACAGACAAGTGAAAGTTCAAGAGCGCGCTCGACGTCGAGAGCGTCGGTGGCAGATTTTAAGTGAAGCGAGGCAAGAGCGACACCAACGTGCCAAATGGTGGAAGCAGAATCGTCTCGAAGCTGAAATCGCACGACAAGAAGAATTCATGCAGCGACTGCAGGAGCAACGCGCAGCTGAACGGAGACTAGAAGAGAACCAACTCGCAGCGATTCAGCCGAAACCGCCTCCACAAACTCCTACTCGTGAACGACAGCAGCCCTGTCCAAGAAGACCCTTGTCTGCCCGAGCGGCTACCGATCCGCATATTGTTCGTGGGCGAGCGAACGTCTATGGATGCGCCGCCACTAAAGCCTTCACAGCGCGAAGACCTCAAACGGCTCGACCAGATTTTTACTCGGGGAACCGCAATAGCTCCAGCCCTTCTAGACAGCAATCAGCTAGCTTTCGACGTCGAACCCGTCCAGCTAATGATGGGGGTAGTGGAGCTCAAAATGAAGTCACGAGCGCGTCGTCTCCAGCAGATTCAAGCGGTAACGCTCGTCAAGCAGGAAGTGTAAATGCCTGCGAAACTCTCGTAATGACCAACGCAGCGCATGCCGTAGCGCAACAAATCGCCATTCCGCCTGTATCAGCTCCAGCTTCTGAAGAAGAAGCGGTGGCTCCGGGCGTGATCATGGCGCAGTTCTTGGCGCTGGAGAAGGAGCAGAGGTTCAAACTCCGCGATCGCTACTGCATCAATCGCGTCAGCCACAAGCTCACATTTGCGGTGCTGCAGCAACTTACCCACGAAGTGCGGCAGGACGCAGCTTGGAGAGAGTTCCTCAGAGCTGCAGGCGGCTCCGTGGGTATCAACAGCAACAAACAACGAAACAAAAGCAAGCGAGAAGCTAAGGTCACGTATACAGCGTTTGCTGGTGTGGCGAATCAGCTGGGCATCTCCATGCCTCCGAAGAGGCTCCAAGCTGTGGCACGCAGTCTAGACCCGTGGAAGACTGGCTTCGTCTCGTGGGAATCGTTCTACACGTGGTGGAGCTCACAATGCAGTCGATAGGTATCTTCCTAAATGAAAGTTCGCAGTTCGAAGAACTGTCGATTGGGAAGGTTTTTGGATGATATCGAACGACATTCGCACTACATTCGTAGCTTCCCCTGCCGGCGGATGACATCGAACGACATTCATGCTACACGGGACCATCGGCACATCATAGATAGATAAAAGATATTGAAGCCGACTAGAACAAATAATAAAGGTGCAATTGTGTATATTATAGCTATTTCTAAGCTGTGAGATTCCGAACACTGAAGCTCGACAAGAATGCAATGATTCCTGTTTTACAACGACTGGGCTTCGACCCCAACCAGTGAGTTTGCCTAAAGAAAAGTAGTCGAATTTGGGTTCAACATCAAAATCCTAGTTGCCCAAGTAGATATTACTACAGTTTACCATAGCTAGCGACACGGCTTGTCAAAAAATAGTTAATCAACTTCGTCTTCATACGAAAGCATCATGGCCGCGGTGTGATGATAGTGCAGCATTCACCCTGAAACAGGTGCGCTCACGCTGGGCGAGAAGAACTACATGTGCGTTCGCATTCCTGTCGAGGGGATCCAACGAACGACAGATTCGCCAAATGTCGACACACCAGTGAAAGGTGATTTTCCGTAGTGATGTGTGAAGAGCAGGGAATGAATAATTCAATTTGTTTGCACAACGTCTGGGCGTACGTTGTACTGTATAAACTTTTGTTGCATACAAAAGCGACACTGCGTGTTGTGTGTATGCCATATCGTGTCCCGGGTTTGGGGCATTTTTCGCAGAGCAGACTACTACTTCCGAATTACTTCGATTTTGCGTTGGCCATGCTACCGTAACTCGAGCATTTAAACTGTCAATTCGACCTTTTCATTCTGTCATGGGTCATAACTTTTATTATACCCTCCTCTTTCAGACACACGAGAAGATGACTTCACCTTGCGATCGATTTTCTTCTGTATGGATAGTTAATCAGAGAGATTAACTGAAAATCTTGTGCAATTTTCGTGGCATACATTGTTGACAGGCTGGTATTGTGTGAATCCCCACACGTATTGAAATGCGTTTAGGTGTACCGTATTAGATTGAACATTCCACTGAGACTTCGCCAAAAACTACAATTATTTTTAACGATATGTGATCCAAAATGGGAGGTATATCTTGAGTTTTCCGTTCAACGATTTTGTATCCAACGCAAACTCTATCTAGCAGAGAGCCAAAGAGCTGCACCTGATGGTATGTCTTCTCCGGAGAAAAGGCTAGAAGCTACAGTACCTACAGTAATTAGTCTGGCCCAGACTAAATCTGAATAGCAGATTTTTCATCGCCCACAATTATTAGTCTGGCCCCAACAGTGACAGACTAATTTTGAATTCAGACTATGTAATTACGAATATCTAAAAATATCCGTTTTCCAGTAAGAAAAAACATTTTTTTGTGAAATGGTATGTTTATACGTATTTTCAAATATTTTTTATAGTTTACCTACATTTATCGTGGCTTTAAGGAGAAATAAAGACTAAAGCATCGCAGATGCTGCTTTGCCATGTTCACTCAGGTATCTATTATATTTTCTAGATATCAGGTTTTGTGTGTGCGAGATCTGGTAAATTGGCAGCTGTCAAGTGCTTTTTCAAAAAGCATTGCCGTAAAGTAGGTAGAGATTGACTAGAATCGTGGTCACCACGACAGACTAATTATGAACACTTTTAGCCAGACTAATAATGAAGACGTCAATTTTTGCTCGACACGAATTAGTCTGACCCAGACTAATTTTGAAGCCAGACTAATTTTGAGCCCAGACTAATTACTGTAGGCACTGTATCGCCTATCTTCGCCTTAACTTCGGCCCCTGCACAACATCAAAACTCGGCCGAAGATAGTGGTTACATTTGGCGGCTCGTGTACACTTCGATAAACTATAGTTGGATATTCGTACCCCCAGTAACTTCGTCCCGAAGCTGGGATTGGCTGAAAAAGAAAATAGGAAACAGCAAGGAAGAGGAGGCGGCTCACACAGTGGGGACACTCGCGGGCTCGGTGGTGTTCGCAGACTCGGTGGCGCTTGAGGAGATGGTGGGTGGCTTTATAGTTGGTGTGCTCGTGGACTCGTGGCGCTCATGTTCTTGTTGGTGCTCGCAGACTCGCTGGTGGTGCTCATATAGCTAGTGATGCGTTCGGAGCTGGAGTTTTTGCGGGGCTCGCGGACGTGGTGGTGCTCGTGCCGTTAGTGACGCTCTTGGACTCGGTGGCGCTCGCGGACGTTACTCAGTGGTGCTCGTGGTGATCTCAAAGCCCGCTCGTGGTGTACACAGAGCTGGAGGGGCTCATGTAGATGGTTGTGGGTGTGATCTCGGTGGTGCTCGTGGACTCGTTGGTGCTCGTGGACTCTGTGGTGCTCGCGAACTCGTCGGTGCTCTCGGACTCTCGGAGATCGAGGTACACTCGGAGCTGGTGGGCTCATGTAGCTGGTGGTGGCCGTGGGCTCGGTCGTGCTCGCGGACTTGTTGGTGCTCACGGGGCGTGCGATGTTCTTAGCTTGTGGTGCTCGTGGCCTCAGTGGTGCTCGCGAACTCGTCGGTGCTCTCGGAGCTCGTGCTGCCCTCCCAGCTCATGGCGCACTTGGAGCTCGTGCTGCCCTCCCAGCTCATGGCGCACTTGGAGCTCGTACTGCTGGGCTGCTGTCAGACCTGGTGGGGCACTCCGAGCTCGTGCTGCTCTCGGAATTAGTCTGTGGTGCTCGCGGATGCAGCGTTGTTTTCTGAGCTCGTGGTGCACTCCGATCTGGCGGTGCTCATGTCGTTGAAGCTGGTGGTGCTCTGGTGCATCGAAGGTGGCATGACGTGTATTCAAGTTACATATGCATTGTGTAATCCCAACTTGACCAAGAGGCCTCCAACTATCTCACTCATGCTGCTAAGAACCGGATACGCGGTAGTGAGCGAAACGCCGCCCGCTGCTGATCAGTTAGCTCACCCCAGGCTTTGACTGTACCGGTAAGTTTTCCAGAGCGACGGTGCTTGCGCTGTGTTCCTTCTTTTGCATCAGCAGCTTTGGTAAACCCATTGACTAACACTGTTTCGCACTGACTTGCCATGTTTTTCATTGCAGATACCCATTGAACCCTGTCCACCTCTCGCGATAATGCAGGAACTGGTGGGATGCTGGCTAAGTCGGCAACGATTTTAACAGCTCGAAGGAAATCCTTCTGCCCGCGATTTCCTCGTTCCTTTGGAATAGAACCCAGGCCTTCTGTGTAGAACTGGACGAGAACATCGGAGAGATGCCTACCCTTCAGCTTCGTCAAGTTAGTGGGCCACGCCTTACCAAGCTGAGGGGATCGCAACGAGAGCCCGCCAGAAACTTCAGCATCTGGACTACCTTCCGTCGCATTGGTGGAGGAAGCGTTGCCTTCTGGTTGACGATCAAGCCGTCGAAGCACAAGATGTAGCATGCTACTGTGCTCCTCATTGGAGGTCACCAGCTGCTGGTGTCCTATGAGTAGCCGTTCCAGCGTTTCGGCAAAGGTATGGAATCCAACAAACTGCTCTGCTTGCTCCTGGATTGTAAGGCTGTCTCTAACATGTTGTATCGGAAGTGAAAGGAGGTGACAAAGCGTTTGCGAATCTTGCTTCCCCAGTCAAGCGGCTCATCCTGACATTCAAGCTGCGAGTGCAGAGTGGAATGTACCCGCTCCAGTTCTTGGTGGACGATGTGTTGTGGTGCGACAGCAAGCGTGTCGCGGTAGTACATCAGCAGAGTCGCGGTAAGACAGTCCGCGAAACCTTTCGGTGCGATCTTGGAGAAGTGAAGCAACCGTAGTGCTTGAGCAAATGTACTGACCCTTGTGAATGTCTGATGTGATTCTTTTTCGAAACAGGCAAGCGTAGGCGGGTGACCAGCCTGCTTTGTGTCCACCCACCCTCCGAGCACCTTTGCAACGTTCTGGTCGCTAGCCGTCGTCGGCGATATGTATTCGAGTAAGATAGCAAATCCATCCATGGACCAGAGCCCCCGGTGGGCCAAATCAGCCAGGTTGACGCTAGCGTTGGAGCTTGCATGCGCTGCGCCACCTCGACGCGCTGAGTGTGACTGTAGGCTTTGCGTCAGCTCTCGCTTTGTGTCGTACTGATACACCGATTCTAACACTCGATTAATGTATGCAGCCACACGCTCGTCTGTTGTAGCTTCAGTCACTTGCGAGAACACACGCGGCGAGGCATTGTATGGGTCAGCAACCAGCTGAGAAGCCAACGTGTGAAAGGGATCGATGCTCCAGCAAATCGGAGAGCAAAAAATTGAGATAGTCTATTGCTGCTGCACCTTGATGCTATTGAAGCAGCACACAGGTCAATTACTTATTACAATGCTAAAGCCAAAGTATATGCACGTACCGTGTCAGATCAATGAGAAGAAAACTACCATGCCAGTGCAAGTCCGTAAAGTGTAGCATTCCTACGTCGGAGCTACGACCAACTGCAAGCCACTGGTTGTTAAGAAGAGTGCGGTCGAGTAGCGCCTTCTTATCATATTTGAGAAATAGTATGGTTGATATTGAGCGAAGATCATCAATTGTCATGGGTGGAGCTTGGTTCTTCAGCTTTTTGCCTTCCGAGATGGCAAGCATGAGATATTGCTTTTGCAAATGGCGTCGGCAACGCCGATACCACTCGGGGTCACTGCGGAACAGGTCCGTTCCCGTTTTCTCCTCCAGTTGCCTCTTGATAGAGCTCAGATAGTTCATCGATGTTTGCCAGTGGATGTCAGGATCATTGAACAGAAAGGTAAGGAGCTTACCAAGCATTTCCTTAGTCACCTGTGCTGCCCTCAGCGTCTCCAGTCAGGTTGGTGTCTACGTGTTTTTTCAAGGTGTTGAATTTCGCACGGGCTGAAGAATCTTGTTTTCTAGAAGAAGGCCCCAACTCGCTCTCCATCAAGTCCACGATGGCTTCGACATCTGCCCCACGCTCCATTGTCGGCGTGGTCAGTTTATCAAACGCCCTTTCATATGTTACTAGAATGGTGCTCTAATGTTGCTCGAACTTTACACTTATCTTCGGCGACGACGTTAACCAAATACACTACTGTAGCGCAAAAAGAATGACGACCGTGTATGAAACTGGAAGGAACCTAGTTCAAATTAATCGAGCTAGGAATGGCTCATGTGTAGCTGCTGTCGCTCAGGCATTTTATCTACAAAGACTTAGGTTGGTATTATTCTTGCTCTGTGTGAGACTACATTGCGACCAGCAGGGATCCCCCGAGCTCATTTACTACTGGTGGTGTATTAATACAATTAGGCACTACTTGATCCTGTTCTTGTCAAACAACTTCGAAGTACATCGTTACCGATGTTAGTTTAGAACATCCTAATGCTACATGAATACGGTACGGCCAGCTTAATACTTGATAAATGGTAATGACATACTTGGACGAATTGAAGCAGACACGGGTTTGTTGTTAGATATTCAGGCGACCCGGACGAAATATGTGTGTGACTGCGCCATGTTGTATCAAACAGCGTTTGAATGCTTCTAAGTTACGTCGTCGCTGTACGCCCCGGATTCCTGCGCGAGAGGAAGCCCGAGCGGACAGTATCAAAGCGAAGGGCAAATACCCGGTGTATCCTGCTCCTACACGCGATCGAGATCTGCTAGACCTCAGTTTTGACTCATCAAACTTGAAACAAATTGCTGGCTTCATCCGTTTTCCCATTGGGCAGTTAGCCTGGCAGCGCTAAATCTTCAAATACACGGATTTTTCTTCTTTTGTCTCCTCCGGTAAGTTTCCGAGCAAAACACGGAAAAAGATTCTGCCTAGGCATCAGCACACATTTCAGTGGCAGGAAGGAAGGAAGGAACGTACGTTGATTAGCTAGTTGTCGATGATCATTCTGCTAGTACAAAAGAACTAAAATTAAAACTAAATCCGTGAAATCTTGATCCGACGAGCAGGAGGAGCCCGAAGCGTTGAAGTACCAACTTAACTATACTCTGCGTTGTTCAATCCATCGGAGTGACGATATATACTGCAGACTGGCAATGCCTTTTGAAAAGAAGCGATCAAACTTGGTACACTTGGTTGTACAGTGGTAGATTAGGCAGATGCTGCGGCTGCGAAGCAGGCGCAGGAGATGCCCGAATACATCGTTTCCCTCTACAAGTATCCGTGCAAGCTAGTTTCGAACTGCGAACCCCCCCCGGGTCCACCACCCGGGTCCCCAATATTGAAGTTGAAGTGGCCAAAAGATCGGCTCGGCCCATTTTTGGTTAGGGACACATGGCTACACCGGGGGAGTTGTCCGAGTTGGAGCGCGGCGACGGAGCATGGGAGAATATTCAGGTTGAACGCACTGAAGCATGTACCGAGTGTGCTAGGGAGAAGGACCTGACTGTGATACGGTGTCTAGGAGGTGTTGCGCTTTGGATTTCGGGGTCTGTGGAGAGCGTTCGCAGGCGTTGACACTCGCGTCGGGGTAAATCGGTATATTGTTGTGAATTCGGCTGCATGGTTGAGCTGGAGCTGATGTAGTTGCTGTCTATTGCCACAGGATCTAGAAAAAGCCGTCGTAGCTCGGAGAAATGATGCAGAGCGCCAGCAGCAGCACTTGGAGGCCATTGCGCAGACGCTGAACGCTATCAGCGAGCAACTTCGAGCGTACGTGAGAAACGATAGTTCCATTCAAGCTCTAAGACTAACGAGTAGTTGGTGCGTATTGCTAGTGACCGAGACGAGGAAACGAACCAACGACACGAAGAGCGGTTGCAGCACGTGGAGTGCCAGCTTCATGATTTTATCGCAAAAGACCGCCGCTCTGCTGTGGACGAAAGTGCTCTTAGCAAAATCAGCATAAGCTTAGGCAAGGTGGAGCGTCGTCTTGATTTACTGGAAGACGAAATGGGGCACGTCGTGTCGGCCGTCGATCAGAAGGCAGACGCAGAAGCTGTGCAGGCCCAAGGGAAGACTTTGCAAGAAGCGATTCGCCAGCGAGTAAGGACTTCAGAATGTCGCCATAGATGTTTGCTCGTTGGTTAGATCTGACGGCTATGCGGTGTGGTGAATAGTGCAAGAAGGACGCATTTGATCAAGAAGTCGCTGCACTACAAGCGGAATTGAAGCAGCAGCAACAGGAACTGGGGACGCAGATATCAACGTCCATCGCGAACTTTAAATCTGCTCAAGAGACGCTTCTTCGCTCAGAGCTCGAGAACTGGTCACTCAAGACCCACGAGAGCGTCTGCCACAGCATGCAGAGCGCACTTGACCAAGAAACTCAGCAGCAATCAGACATTCTGAAAGGCATCGATCTCCAGATAAAGCTTTGCTGCGACGCTATCGAGGCGCAGCAGAAGCGGATGGGCGACTTTCAAGGGGAAATCAAGACGGAAGTTCGCGCCACGATCGCGGCCGATCGAGAGGATATCGCTCGACAGTGCAGCGAAGCTCATGGACGAATCGACTACCAGTTTCGAACCCAGGAGGAGTCACTGGAGAGGATTCGAAGCGAGCAGCACAAGCTTCGTGAAGAGATCGTGGCAACTGGAAGCAAACGATGCGAACAAACAGCGGCCGATATTACTGCTGCTATCGAGGACCTTAACCGCAGAGTGCTGGATCGGGAGCACCAGGAGCTGGAGAAAATGCACACTCGGCTCACAGAAGAGATGCAGCTCTCAATCGCCAATGCGTTCAAGGCTTTGGAACCTGCCAAGGACAGAGAGCAGCGTAAATTGAGGCAGCACCAGCACATCGTCGGGCGCAAACTGGCCGAACTGGATCAAATGATGCAACTCATCGGGCGGCAGCTCATTCAAAACACGTCCCAGCTGCAAGTGGTGCGCAACGAGCAGCTCGTGCACAATTTCGAGCTGGACCTGCAGAACGAGGACGCTGGATATGACGACGATGATCTCGTGCTTCTGTACGATAGCGTCACTGAGAATGCTGCTCCCCCAGAACTTCCTCAGACTCCAGTGTATCCTAGTACATCACAGCAGACTGATCAAGCCAAAGCAGCAAGTAGCCGTGAGATGACAAGAGTAGAGCGTGAAGATACCTCAGAATTCCGGACACGCCAATCCCAACACCAAGAACTTCAGGAGCAGCTCGACAAAAAGCTTCGGGACTACAGCCAGGTATTAGGCTCCAGCCAACGCCAAGCACAGGAAGATGAGGACAAACCTACGCAGCCACCAAAAAAGTAAGTCCGTTCATTACATTAGGTAAAAAAGACCTCGACGGCGAACTCGGTTCGACTCTGTATCGATAGTGCGTGAGGTGGGTGGGGCGTCTCGGCATAACTAGTCGATTCAACTGAACGAGCCATTCCCGATGCTGCTTCGGTCATCCAGCGACCCCGCCTCGAGCGCTCCATTTCCATTCGGCAGGGAGCCGTTTGATCCAATGGCAGGCGTTTCCGGCGTCGTCGACACCGTCATGACGGCTAGTAAGTCGACCGACGGCGGGGTGATCTCCATACGAAGCGATGCCTCGGCATTCTCCAGAATGCCCCACAGATACTCCTGCTCCTGCTCATACGTCATGCCATCCTCATTGCCAGCGTCCAGTCGAGACAGCAGCTCCTCGTTCGACGGTTGCGCTTGGACACGCGGGAGACGGAGCGTCGCCAGTTGAGTGGTGAACTGCTCGCCCAGCTTCTGCTCGTTCAGAAGGTTCTGAGAAGCCGTCACGATCTCGTTCTTGCGCTGCACGGCCTGTTCCGCTTCCAGCGGCTCGGGGACCTCGCTGATGTCGATGAAGGCTTGCGCCGCGCTCTCAACAATTCCACTCAGACGGTCGTTCTCGCTCAGCACGCCCTTGCCGGACCACATGCCACTGGATCGGCCATTGCTGCCCACTCCGCCCATGCCAAGCTCGCTGTGCAGGTCCAAGTGCTTCTCCAGCTCCAAAAAGTGCTGCAAGGAAGCATCGTCCAGAATACCGGGGACCTGCAGCAGTCCGTCTACATATAAGCTCAAATATGTCAGCAGAAGCCACGATAAGCTTGAGACCGAAATCAGTGTCACTCACCGAGATACTCTTGTAAGCTCGCCTGACGTTTAATCAAAAAGTTGGGGTCAAATCTGAGCACAACCCAAAGCAAATGTCAGCTCACCCTTGGTCCGCAAATACATCACCCCCATCAACACAGCAGCAGTGGCGTGGAGTTCTCAGAACATTTAACGCGTTGGGTAGAAGGACATCAGGCAGCAGCATAGGGGAGGGAACGGAGCCGAAGAGAAAGAGGGTGAAAGAGTCCGCTCGGAACCGAACAAAAGTCCCCGGCGCCGGCCTCACCGCCTCGGAACTGCGACCTCGTGCCCCCCTCCGTCGACGCTTGTGGCTTGGGTGTGTTTTCCTCTTGTCAGATAAGATCAAGTGATTTTTACAGTCATGGGCCGCCGCACACAGCGCAGCCTCCTCTCTTCCTTTTCAACACCAGAGACCTCGAGCCAGCAGCGTCGACGAGCGGGAGACCGGGGAGTTCACACGACGCAGCGAGGCGGTAGTCCAGAAGCTCCGTCCAGCAACCTAGCAGTCTCCTCATCCCTCTCTTCTCTGCCCCGCGTGACGCGCTGCCGCCTTCTCCTCCCAACAGACTCGGAATAACGAGAGCCCCCTCTCATCACCGAACTCCACGCACGCACGCACACACACACAACTCCTAGACGACACGCACCGGCCGAACCACTGCTTCTCGGGCAGCGACACCTCGATGAGGTCCCCGAAGCGCCGCACAAGGCGCGAGTGCAGCTGGTCGAAGTCGCTGAAGCGCCGCGAGATGCGCCACAAGCCGCCATTGCACGAGATCTGCGCGCCGCCAGGAGCTCTGCATTAGCACCGTCACACGCCTATAGAGACGAAGAGCAGGTCACGCACCTCCACGATGAACTCCGTGTGGTCCCCGACCGTGTCGTAGCCCGTGATCAGCGCGCTCACGTTCAGCATCGCCATGGTCTCCGGACTCTTGCAATCCGAATGAGGTTCCAGCAGCGTAAGTACGTGCGCACTTAGTGATTAGGCAACACGGCAGTACCGTATCTGACGTGTTTTTGCTCTTGCCTCCAACTTCAAAGTGATCCGATAGATTCCCAGACGACAAGAGCGGCAACCAAGCCACAAGCACAGCAGAGACATCAAAAAGATGGCACATTTCGGGCGCGGAGGCAGCGACCGCGTGACGCTGGCGGTGGACGTGGACCTGACGCTGACCGACCTGCTCCAGTGCGCGGCGGCGTGGCATGAGGCGGAGCACGGCGCGCCGGTGAGAGGCCAAGAGCAAGAGCAACCAGCTCCTGCGATCTTTCGTGCTGTCTGGCTAAAACGTCGCACCGTTAGCGGGTTATAACGCGGTTATTGCTGCCTCTGCTGCTGTAGATCAACGTGGACGAGATTGCGTCGGCGGGCTGGACGAGCGTCTGGGGCGGCGGTGACGTTGAGAGCAAGACGCACCAGTTCTTCGAGTCGAAGCAGTCCGAGGAGCTCAAGGCGGTGCCTGGCGCCTTTGAGGCGCTCAAGCCGCTGCGCAAGCACTTCTCGCTGCTGGCCATCACCGACCGCCCGCGGTTCGTGGAGAAGCAGACTCGCGAGTGGCTGGACTGCCACTTCTCGGGCGTGTTCGACAAGCTCGTGTTCGCCGACGAGGACAGCCCCGAGCACCTCGTGGCGCGCAAGAAGGAGCTCTACGACGAGTTCAAGGTGAAGGTGGCGGTGGGCTCTGACGCCGCCATGCTGGCCGAGGCAGTGCAGGACGTTGGACATGTCGTCGTCGTCGGCTCCGTGCCGTGGGCGAAGGAAGGCTCTGAAACGCGGAGTGGTGTCGTGCAGGTGGCGGAGTGGACCGCAGCCCCGGAAGTCTTTGAGCAGGTGATCAAGGAGCTGGAGCTGCAGCCGCTGGAGAAGGTGTTTGCTGGGCCGCGCCTCGCGCGCTACACAGACGACCTGGTGACAGTCTCGACACGGAAACCAGCAGGTAAGAGCCGCCAGTGTCTTGCGTCTTCTGTCGGAAGCCATCGTTCTAACGCTGTGTGGCCGCAGTCTTCTACGCTAACATCATCAACTCCAAGTTCACGGTGCAGAAGCAGGAGACCGTCCGGCTGCAGGCGTCCGAGGCGGCCATCACGACGGCGGTGCAGGCGGCCGAGATCCTGCGCATCCAGAACAACGCCGTCACCACCAAGATCTCGACGCGGTACGCGCTGAACCGCCCCAAGGACCGCGGCGGCTACCGCGTGCCCAAGCTGGAGCTGGTGCTTCAACGCGTCGCGCGCAAAGCCTAGCAGAGGTGGATGAAGGTCTACTGTATGTCAGAAGCAGTGGAGGAAGAGTCTGTAGGCGCCAACGCAGCGCAGTGCAGAGCAGAGCAGATCAGTGCAGTGGTGACGGGAGGAGGAACTCCGAAAGCAAACACACAAAACAGGAATCAGTGACGTCTATGAGTCTCTGCTGCGGGCCACTCACTCACTTGCCGCGAGCAGCTCTAGCTCTGGCCTCCAAGTACTCCCGGCGCTCCTCGTCGCGCAGCTGGCGACGCTCCGCCTCGTTCGTAGTCACGATGTCGTCTGTCGCCGCCAAAACACGATTGTTATTGTTTTTGTTTTTCAAGACCCAGTTGTCAAGTGAACAGAGCCGAGGAAAGCTAGCGACGTACAGAAGCCCGTCTTGACCATGAAGAGCTCCATGGCCGCGCCCGTGACGAAGCAGATGGGCACAAGCTTCTTGAGGATCGGCGTGAGCGCCACCGTCGCCTGATGCTGCGGCGCCATTCTCCTTGTGTGTGCCACAGGTCTCAGTTGTGTATCACTGGTGTACGGTTGTAAAACCGTACACCAGTGTAGCCATCTTGCGGCAAAGGACACTGTGCACCACCAACAGCAACAACCGACTGACGTGGCAAATGGCAACGGCGCCGTTGAGCTGCGTGGGCTTCCGCTGTCTGGACCGGGACGAATGCTACCACTACGATGAGACGCTGAAGAGCGCGGCCTTCATGCACGACGGAGACAGCTGCCACAACACGCTGGCGGACGTGCAGCACCGCTTCCGGTACCACAACAAGGACGGCAAGCTGCAGCTGCTAAGCGCCGACGAGGTGCAGGAGCTCATGAAGTGCACGTACACGAGCAAGCTCATCTTCCAGAGGACGCACCTGCTGCGCAACTACGCGTTCTGGGGCTTCTCGGACTCGGTGCAGGACGGCTTCGACCAGTTTGCGCCGCTGGGCCACGACACCTTCGAGGTCTCCCACAAGGTCGTGATCGGCCACGTCTCGCTGCTGGACCACGTCGAGGAGCAGCCGCTGGGACTGTTCGCACTCGAAAGCCTCGCGCAGTATGAGTTTTTGGGAGAGTACACGGGCGTGATCAAGGTGGGCGTGAGCGAGATGAACGAGTTCGACCCGTACGGCATCTCGTACCCCTCCGTGTACGAGGGCGGCGACCTGTACGTGAGCGCGAGCGAGTACGGCAACGTCATCCGCTGCATCAACCACAGCGCCACGCCCAACGCGCGCTTCGTGCCGATGGTGCACAACGGCATCCTGCGGATTTTCTGCGTTCGTTTTGTTCGGATTGCTTGCTTGCTGTGGTCCGTCTTGCTTACCCACTGACGCCATGCTTTGACCTGCAGTTTGTGATCCAGGACATCAAGCAGGGCGAGCAGATCTTCGTTAACTACGGGCCTTCCTACTGGAAGTCGACGGGTATCGAGCCCATTGCGTTCCACGAGCCAGAACAAGTTGTTGGTGTACAGTAGCTTTTTATTCCCATTACAAGGAGTTAAATGTGAGAGAAGAGAGAAACCGGATTGCAACGCAACGCGTACAAGCCCGCCAGTAACTTGGGAGTGACGCATGGTCGAGCTTACTCCTCGATCTCGACGACGGCCTCAATCTCGACGGCCACGTTGAGCGGCAGGGCGTTGGTGCCCACGGCCGAGCGGGCGTGGATGCCCTTGTCGCCGAAGACCTTGCCGATCGTGTCCGAGGCGCCGTTGATCACGGCCGGCTGCTGCGTGAAGCCGTCCACGCAGTTGACGAAGCCCACGAGCTTGACCACGCGCTTGATCTTGTCCAGGTCGCCCACCTCGTGCTTGAGCGTGGCCATGAGGCTCAGCGCCACGTAGTGCGCGGCGTCGTAGCCCTGCTCGGGCGTCAGGTCCTTGCCGATCTTGCCCAGGATGAGCTCGCCGCCCGCGGGCTGCGGCAGGTGGCCGGCCAGGTAGATGGTGTTGCCCGAGCGCACCGACGTGCGGTAGTTGCCCTTGGGCTCGGCCACGGCCGGCAGCGTGTAGCCCAGCTCCTCCAGCTTGCGCTCGATGTGGACGTTGCGCGTGGCGGCGGCCAGCGAGCGCGGCTTCATGGTGCGGATGAGGGACAGCATCGTGGTGGTCTGGGGTGGGAGGGGGTGGAAGACTGGCGGGCGACGGGGTCAAACGCGGATTGAGCTGCTGCAAGGCGGAAGGCGGAGACCAGCTTCACCCTACACTATGATCGCCGACGGGGATTGGCTACGCATCCAAGCATCCAAGCCAGGAGGCGCATCTAATCGACTCAGGTGTCTGTATCCATATCGGTTTACAAAGGGTTTAAGGTCACTAATGATCCTCGAGTGTATAACATGGGTACAGGATGGTACAAGGTACCAGCTGTAGACGAAAATGAAGCCATGTGACAGACGACTGGGATCTTATTCCATCCTTCATGTCCTGGTCATAGCATTGTTGACGCTGGTGCTGCTGCATCGACGCTTGTAGCTCATGCAGATGTGCGGGAAAGGGGGGCTAGGATCGTCCTTCCTTCCAGGTGGACGCGGAGTATTTTGGCGATGCAGTCTCGGGATCAGGAAGCTCGGTGCAGGTGCGTCGGCGCCTCTACTGAGGAAGAGGCGACCGAGCCATTCCCACTTTTGCCCAAAGGGGGGAGCTGAGGAGGGGGTGAGACTATCCGCTCGCCGACCATGGTCGCGGCCCCGCACTCCCCTCTCCAACCCCCAGCGCCCGAACTGCTGCAGCTCCAGGCGCCGTCGATCACGAGCCGAGCGTCAGCGCGTAGGCTGAGCGCGTCGGCAGAGGTCGTAGCCAGCATCATGCAGTCGCTCAACATCACCGCTGCGCACCGGTCAGCCGCCTACCAGCCAACGCGCGTCAAGACGGGCTCGCAACCCGGTGTTGTCAATCAATCCAAGCCATCGCAGCTTACGCCCGACGTCCAAAAGGATCCCGTCTGTTCGCTGGACTTGCAGTCTCTCGCCAAGGAGCTGCCGGACACCGTCGATCACATGAGAGACAAGCAGCCAGCGTAAGTTGCTTGCTTTTCTTTCCTTGAATCAATGTCCGTCAGCTCTCTCACCATTTCCAATCTTGCCCAATGCCCGCTCGACGCAGCATCAGCATCGAAGTCCTCAAGCCCAGCACTCTCACGGGGAATCATGACTACGCCGTGGAGATGGCACTGCTTGCCAACCAGGTGCACACGGGCTTGCAAGCCCGAGTAGCCCCTGTCCCCATCGAGGACTGCACGGGAGGCGTCTACTACCTACGAACGAAGAATCGTCGCCTGACGGCCGTGTTTAAGCCTGCGGACGAAGAAGCGTACGCCCCCAATAACCCCAAGCAATTCCACAAGCCGGAGCAGACTTCGGGTGTCTCGGGCATGCGCCAGGGGATTTCTGCGGGTGATGCTGCTGTGCGTGAAGTGGCTGCGTACTTGCTCGACCACCAGCGCTTCGCCAAGGTGCCAACGACCATGCTGGCTTCCGTTTTCCACCCAGACTTCCACTACCAAGCTTCGGAGAGCCCGCACCGCAAGACTGGCGCGTTGCAGGCTTACATCCCTCACCGTGACACGGCAGACGACGTCGGCACCGCCTTGTTCAGTACTGCGGACGTCCACGCCATCGCCATCCTCGACATTCGACTCGCCAACCAGGACCGCCACGGAGGCAACATCTTGGTGGTGGAGCCCGCCACGACGGTCATTCAAACTACTGGATCAGTGGTGATGACCAAGTCTCAAGCTGGCAAGAAGGTGTCTCTCGTTCCGATCGACCACGGGGCCTGCCTCCCACGCGTGTCGGCGCTCTCGGAGACCAGCTTCATGTGGGTTCTGTGGCCCCAAGCCAAGCAGCCCTTCTCCTCTGCGGCGCTGCAATACATCGCTGCGTTGGACCCGCACCGCGACCTGCAGCTGCTCCAGGATAACTTACCGGTAGAGTATCAACTGGAGCAGGAGGCAGCGCTAACGTTGCTCGTCTGCACGGCGCTGCTGAAGTTCTGCGCGCTCGAGCTCGACATGACCGCGTACGACATTGGAACGCTCATGTGCCGTCAAGGAACTGTCGCCCAGCAAGAGCTGAACCCGAGCGTACTGGAACTGCTCGTGTCTGCAACTCTGCGCGACCCCGCAGTGCTCAAGAGTGAGGCGTTCCTGAAGCTCCAAGAGAAGCAGAAGCCGCTGCAAAAGTCGGTGTCGAGCTCGGATAAAGCGTGGACAAACTACGTCACCACGTTCATGTCGACCTTCCGCCGGGAGCTAACGGCGCGGCTCGCCACCAAATAGATGATAGTAACACACTCTACCCACTGCTGTTTACGGAGGCAGTGGAGTAGATGTTCTCCAATTGAGCAGCTATTCGAGTTTGCATGTCTTGAAGTAGTTCTTGCAGCCAACGCGTCATCGGAACATCCGCTTGAGGACTCGCGTTGTCATCAGCCTGCGCGAACACGCTCGTAAATAGAGGCAGTACTTCGCTTTCGATCACGCGTTTGATGCTATCCTGCTGTGGATTGGATCTGCACATGACAGACGCCAATTCCGCGGGGTCTTTGTCTGTAGGACTTGTCTTCTCGATTGACGAGGTGCTGCTGTTTCTGGTCAATTGAGCCCCGTTCGTGTTCAATTGCACGTTCACCGTGGGCGCCACTACGCACAACCGCAGAGAAGACTCGACAAGACGCTCCATCGCTCTCGCGTGTGACTGCTTCTGCCTCTGCAGCAACGACACTTGCTCTGCGAGAACCGACTCCACTTCGGTCACACGCGTCTGCAGTGCTAAATTGTCTTGTTCTGCCGTCTTGAGAGCCTCAGATAGACGACTCAGCTCCTCTGCTTCTTGCTTGGGTAATTCAGCGTGGTCGGCTTGAGCGAGTTGTTCCGTTTGCTGCTGTTGCGCGAGGGTTTTAGCGGCCAAGTCGCTGTTCTCCTTTATCAACGTCTCGATCTGCGTTTCGTAGGCTTCAATTTGCTTCATCAGCGTAGCCTTCTTCACTTTATCAGCGTGGAGCTCCGACACCCTGGCGTGCAATCTGTCTACATCCGCAACTTTTTGAGCCATTCGCACCTTCAGAGCGTGCACCAGCGTCTCGTGCTTTTGCGCCTGCGCTAGAGTTTCATCTCTATGTTGCTGCCCGAGTATCTCCATCGCCTTCTCCTTGGACTTAATGTCGGCCAGAAGCCTTTGACTCACTTGATCGAAGAGCTTGCACTCCTTCTGGTGGGCCGACTGCTGTTCCTGCAGAGACTTTCGTGATGTCTCCAGAGCTTGCTCCAGCTCCAAAATCCGTCGCGCGTGCTCGGAGCTGTCGTCAAGCCACGATCGGGTCTCACGTTCTCGCTCTTCCTTCACCAGCCCCACTGCCGCCTGGGCTTCTTCGAGGTCTTTCGAGACCCTGATCAGTTCCTGCTCGCGCTCAGTGAGCTGCTGGGTTAGAAGTTGAATCTCTGCCTTTAAGGCTGCGATCTCGCGTAGTTGATCGGCTTTAATCACTTCATCGGCGCTATGCTGAAGCGTGCATTGAATCGCCTTATCCACAGGCAATCCATCTCCCCCGCTTTCAGGTTGCAACAACTTCACCTGCTTGTCCAGCTTAGTACACACCTCCTCAATCAGAACACATTGCTCCGATTTTTCCGTCAGTTGATCGCGAAGTTGCGAGATCTCAGCGAGATGCGAGATGCGTTCTTCCCACTGTCGGCCCTGCACGGCTTCAATCTTGATAATGTGCTTCTGCAGCTCTGAAGCAGAAGCTTGGGCTTGCGCGCTCTCGTGATGAGCTTTCACTGCTTTCGCTCGGGCGATCACACACTTGGTACAGGCCGGACTCGGTGCAGTTGGGACTTTTGACGACGTTGAGGACGCCGACGCAGCGCGGAATTGCCCACCGGCGACCACCTTGCTTTGGCCTCGCATCCTGTTTCGTAGTATGAGAACTCAATCGAGTGTTGCAGGTGAACACACCAATACGTATACGTACTTTTCCACCAACTTCGTTCGGAGCAAATCGTTCTCGTCGCGCAGTTGCTGCACTTCGTCTGTAGAATCGTAACTCGGATCCTCTCGCTCGTTTAGATGTCCCTGGTGTTTAGAAGAATGAGTATATCCTCCTGTATGACTCGTTGTTGAAGTGAAGACTTGCACCACCATTCTATCCGAGACCCCTCTCGACGGCGCATGCGTCGAAGATGGTCTTCTTGCTTGATTTCCGTACGCAACTGTGACTTCAGTGTTAGTTGCTGGGCGTCTTGAAGCGGTTGTTGCGCCAGCACTTTTTGGTAGAATCCCCAGCGCTCGGCGTCCCCCAGTTGCGACAGACGAAGACGGTCGAGTTACTGGCACTTCAGCTTTCAAGACAACGCCAACTTCTGGTGGTCTCCCGTTGAGCGACGGAAGAGCAGAACGCTGCTCCATGACTGCACTCTGACGACAATTTAGTGCTCAACGTGAACAAGAGAGGTATGTTTTTCATTCCGCTTCAACACCTTGTTATTTTTACTCACTGGCAGCGCTACAAATGAGTCATTTGAAATGACTAAAACAAATTCCTGTTTAGCGAGTTAATCATTTCCAAGCTGAGGTACTTTTCCAGGATGATGTGCTCCGCGGGGTTTCCCTCAATACTGGCGAAAACTTGGCTGGAGGTGATGGTGGATCACTCTTGCTACTGCCCATCGATGTCTGAAGTGCCGGTGTTTGCAGTCGCTTCAGTAGCGCCTCATTGGCCTGGTAGAGCTTCTTGCAGACCGCATCCTTTTGCTGGAGCTGGTCGTGTAGCGTTTCCAAGCCATTTGTGAGCTCTACCGACTGCGCCTCCAGCACACCGCATTGGCGTTTAAAGGACAAGTAGAGCTGCGTTGATTCCGTGATCTTGGCGACCAGGATGCGCTGCTCCTCGGCGAGCTCGTCGAACTCGGCAACCATCACGTCAACATACTGCGCCAACTCCTTGGATAGGTGCTTCTTTAGCTCAAACAAGTGAGACGCGGCTGAGTTGTCTTCCGGGTTTAACGCTCGATTCTCGACGCTCGAGTCGGAGAGATTGTTATCAAACGTCAAGAACGCAGTCGCTTCGGCGAGAAGCACGTTCTTGCACTGGATCATGCGCGACCGCTTCGCTTCGAGCTCTCGAGCATGCTGGTTAACCGCCCTCATCCTCAGCTGCTCTAACTTGAGCTCGCACTCTTCCGCGTGGTCCATCTCCAATTGACGCAGCTTGGTCGTCATCTCCTGATCAAGCGTTTGTTGCAGAACCTGGAGCTCTTGGCGGCATTCAAGCTCAAAGTCCTGACGATGTGCTTCTAATGCTTCGATTCGGTGTCGTTCTGCTGCATCTTTCAGTGCTTGGAGGCATTCTTGATGAGAGACTTGCATACTGTCGTGTAACTCCATGATCGCCACGCGGTTCTTCTTCTCTAAATCGCGCTGCATTTGTTGCTGCTGCTCACTGTGTGATCTCGTGAGCATTTTCTTCAACTCTTCCGTCTCCTTTTCAAGTGACAACGAAGCTTCGGTCTTAATGTCATTGACTTTTTCTTCGTGCTCCATCTCCAGTCGCTTGCGGAGTTGTTGCAGCTGCGCTTGGGCACCAAATGCGAGCGCCTTCTTCAACTTCTGCAACTCTTCTTCTTCTCTCTCGGAGTGCGACGACTGAATCTCTCGTTTAAGCTCCGCAGTCCGCTCTTCCTGCGCCTTTAATACCGACGCGACGGCTGCTTCTCTGTGATCAAACAGTTCCTGTTCCAGTTTTTGCCGCTGCTCAACCTCCCAACTCGCGAGAGCCTCACGAGAGTCGTTTTGCATCTGCTTCAACCTCAAACTGAGTTCTTCTTGCAATTGTCTCTCAAACTCACGCTTCCCACGCTCTGTTTCGCTTGTCAGCTGCAGCTCCAGTTGCGAGAGACTCTCCTCCATAGCAGCGTTATGACTGCTCTGCAACTCTTGCAATACCCGGTTCCGGTCTTCAAGTAGCGTAACTCGGGTCTTTTTCACTGCCGCGGCTTGCTCGAACTCGTACTCTTCCATCTTCGCGCGCACAAGCGCCTTGGTTTCGCCCTCGTATCTCTCACGCAACGTCATGAGCGTCATGTGCTTCTTCGAGTCGTATTTGCGCTGCAACTCCTTGAGATACGTGGCTTGCATTTGCCGGTGGTGCAGCTCGATCTTGGTCGTGCTGGATTCGATGTCGCGTTGGCATTTAGCGGCGAAACTCTTCACTGCCGCAGCTTTCTGAGCCAGCAAAGCCTCCTCGTCTTCAATAGCCAAACGAGGCATAACACCAACTTTTGGTGAAGAACTAGTGCTAACCATGGAATCTGATAGTACCGACTCGGAATGGCGAGAAGAGAAGGAAGATGATTTTCCCCCAGTTCGCTCTTTTGTGCTACTGGCTGAAGATACACGAGATGCATCTGATGGCAACACATAACCCGTTAGTATAAACTCGGAGTTCCATGGCTTTAAGTAGGATAAATGTTTTGTTACCGCAAGACTTGACGCGCTGCAATAGCTGATCGCATTTCAATAAAGTCGTTGCCACTTGGTCGGCAACGGCGCCCGCCTCCTGTTGCGCCTTGGACAACTTTGAGAAAATGGGTGATGACGCATCAACTGCGTTGGAAGATACGGACGACGTTGAAGACACTGCGAGTTGCTCTTGCTCCTTCTCCTTGTTGCCAATGCGCCTCCTTCGCCCTCGGAACACGCTCAGCCGCGTCTCAATGGCTGCGAGCTCGCGCTCCACGTCTCGACAGGCTTCCGTTGCCACAGCGGTTTTAGCTGAGACTGAGCGTTGTTGCCGTTCTCCGTTTGAACTCTCATCGGATAGAGACGAAATGGACAGAGCCTTCGACTGCCGACGGACATGCTGTTGCGAGCTCTTGGCAAAGGAATCGGAAGGAGAAGGGAGGGAGGGCGACGGCAACTGTAACTCGTCCTCAAGGGCGAGGAAACTGGAGCTCGAGTCTGCGGCCGTGACCGACATCTTTCTCTAAACGATCGTCTTCTCTAACCAACGTGCTCAAACACATAACGGCCTACTTCTCATGAAGAGTCGCCGCTGGCGCGACTCGACAACATGTTGCCAATCTGCGCCGCAGCGATAATGCTAGCATGAATAAGTTGTCTTTGCACGCATCATACGTATCCCTCGCAGCAAGGTTGATTGCCTCCCCTCCAACGAGTCGAGTCGAGTTTGTTGCCACGTTTGACTTGACCTCCGTAGTTGAAGTTGTGTTGTTTTGCTAAGCAGCACGTCGGGTCGGTCTGGTGGCCCGAACGTGCGATCGTTTTACGTCCATACAAACTTCAAGTGTAATCTCTCGCCGCCTCTTCAGGCGCGAAGATCGGGCGGCCATTTCGGCTTTTGCTCTTGCATTTGCATGGGCCTTCGCAGCACCAAAGCTCCAGCCGCCACCACCCGCAGTGTTAACACCATAGAGAGCGCCAGTCATCCGGTTAGCACCATGTCGAAAGAGACGGAGCGCACCATGCAGTACCAGGACGAGTTGCCGTCGCTGCCGCTGCCCCCGCTCGAGCAGACGCTGGAGCAGTACGTGCAGAGCTGCGAGGCGCTGCTGGAGCCCAGCGAGTTGGAGCACACCAAGGCCGTGTGCCACGACTTCCTGCACGGCGTGGGCCCGCAGCTGCAGGCCATTCTGCAAGAGCGCGCCGACACGGAGCGCAACTGGATCGAGGAGTGGTGGGAGACTTTTGCCTACTTGCAGCCTCGCTATCCGTCGGCCATCAACATCAACTGGTACGGCGTGTTGCCCGGCAACTGGGGGCCCCGGGACATGAGTCAGTGTGAAGCTGCCTCTATCTTCACCCATGCCATCCTCAAGTTCCGCAAGAACCTGCTCGAGTACGTAAACACTATTTTTTAAGTGGTGTTAACCGCGCGGCGGTTAGATGAAATGTTGGAAAAGTATCTAACCATGGGGTTTGTGTTGTGTTTTGTTTAGAGAGAAGTACCCGCCGGAGAAGATGATGGGTCGTCCGCTGTGCATGCACACGTACTCGCGCATGTTCAACACGTGCGTCATCCCGGGCGAAGAGTGCGACGAGATGGTGTCGTATCCGCACGACGCCAAGCACATTCTCGTGCTGCGCAACAACTGCATGTGGGCGGTGCAAGTGTTCGACGACAAGGGAGAAGAAATCCCTCTCGCCGACATTCTGAGGTAAAGTGTTGCATCGCAACACCCATTCACCTAAATCGGCAACAGAAAAAATCTCTAACCATATTTTTTTTACGTGTTGCAGGCAATTCGAGTTGGTGCGCGAAGAAGCCACCGGTCTCTTCGACCTGGAGCGTTACCCCCCAGTCAGCGTCCTCACCTCGGAGAACCGCACGAATTGGGCCAAGGTAATGAATGCAACAATTGAAAATACTCACAAAACCACGAAAACATACTCACTCTTTACCTTTTTTCCTGCTACGTAGGCTCGGGACCACATTATGTCTCTGGACGACATCAACAAGCAGTCGTTCGACCTGATCGAGCGCGCTCTGTTCTGCGTGGCGCTGGACGAGAGCTCGGCCTCCACCTACGACGAAATCGCTCGCAACTGCCTGCTCGGAGACGGCCGCAACCGCTGGTACGACAAGCCGTTCACGCTCATCATCCACGAGAACGCGCGTGGCGGCCTGAACGGCCAGCACGCGTGGGCGGACGCGCTCGTTGTCGTCCGCCTCTTCGACTACTGCATCAAGTACGTAAACGAGAACTTCAAGGCCAAGTTCGCCAACCGCGCGGACCTCAAGCCGACGCTCAACATCAAGCCTAAGCGACTGGACTGGGTGCTGGACAACGCCGCGTACACGGCCATCGAGTGCGCCAGCGCGGCGGTGGGCAAGCTCATCCACAACAGCGACATCGCCACGATGCAGTTCAACCACTACGGCACGGCCTTCCTCAAGCGCTACAAGCTCACGCCCGACTTCTTCATGCAGATGGCCATCCAGCTGGCGCACTACAAGATGCACAAGAAGGTGCCCGCGGTCTACGAGACGGCGCACACGAGGATGTTCTACCACGGCCGCACCGAGACCATCCGGTCGCTGTCGAAGGAGTCGCTCGCGTTCGTCAAGACGATGGAGTCGAGCGCCTCGGACGGAGCCAAGTGGGACGCGCTGCGCACCGCCATCGACGCCCACAAGGAGACGCTCAAGAAGTGTCTGACGGGCGACGGCATCGACCGCCACCTCATGGGGCTCCAGATCGTCTCGGAGATGTCGGGCATCACGCCCAAGCCGTCGCTCTTCACGGACCGCGCGTTTGAAGTGAGCAAGAAGTACCTCATCTCCACGAGCAACATCAGCGGCGGGCCGGGCGCCAGCCCCATCTGGGGCGGCTTCTCGGCCATGTACAACGAGGGCTACGGCGTGTGCTACGCGCTGCAGCCGGACCGCATCAACGTAAGCATCACGTGCTACCACGTGTGCCCCGAGACGAGCGCTACCACGTTCAAGCGCTACCTGGAGACAGCGCTGCTGGAGATGGTGGACCTCTGCCTCACGCGCAACGTCATCTACGTGAGCTCGTCCAAGATCTAAGTACCTACGTCGCGCAGTCAGACATGCCAGGCCAGTCCTAAGCAAGAGGACGCTACTTATAGTGTAGTGTCCCCCAAGTGAACCCATTCCGTAATTCTATCAATATGATTGGCTCATGCACTTGATGCTGATTGGCTGATTTACGTTGAAGATCTTGAAGCGCCGCGAAAGGTCGCGATCTTTGTTGACAAGCATCGGATGGCGGCCATCGCTACGGCGGACTTACGGTCTCACTTCCAGATTTCTCTCCTGCCCTCGGATCTCTCTCTCTCTACCTCTCTCGGCTCGAGATGGTGTTCGCCCGCCTGCTGCCGGCGGTGGTGTGCGGCCTGGGGCTGGCCGGATGCACGGCCCAGGCGGCCTTCTACGCGTGCCCCGAGGGCTGCGCAGCCATGCTGCTGCCCCGAGACATGGAGATGATCGACGACTGCCTGTGCGACGACGGCGTGGACACGACCGAGGAGGAGGCGGCGGCGGACGCCCTGGACAGCGACGAGCCCTTCGCTTGCCGAGGCCGCTACAAGCCCAAGCGCGGTGGGGGTGCAGCACAGTCCGTCGCGGACTGCGACTGCTTCCACCCATACGAGAAAGACCCGGCCACGCAAGAGTGCGTGCTCACGAGCTGCCCCCGCGCGGGCAACTATGAGCCCAAGTCTGGAGTCGTTGAGGTGGACTCGCTCGCTGATTGCACGTGTACGCCGCCCTACGTGAAGGTGGAGGCGTCGGGCGAGTGCGTGGCGGGTGACGCTGTGGCCAACAGGGCCAATATTCGAGGCCAGTACGTGTGTCCGCCGAACTCGACGCCGACACCGGGGGTTGTCGCTGAGTCTTTCGACGACTGCCACTGCACCTGGGGCTTTGTGCGCAACAGCTTCGACGAGTGCGAGCGTGAACGCGCGGCGTACGTGTGTCCCGTCAACTCCGTCAAGAGCCCGGATCTCTTGATCCATGAACGCCCGCGCGGCTTCTTCGACTGCGTGTGTCTTTCGGATGGCAACTATAAACGCGATGAGGAGGCCCACGCTTGCTGGCCCGTGACGCAGATCAAGCAGCGCAAACCCAAGCGAAGGTCGAGTAATCGTGGCGCTGTGGAGGCGGAAGACGAGTACCGAGAGTACGATGTCGTCAACTTTGACACGGAAACGTTCGAGTGTCCTCCCTTCTCCCGCGCGGTGGCCACCGTGCCGCACTCGGTAGAGCAGTGCCAGTGTCTTCCTGGCTACGCATGGAAGCTGCCCGAGATGATCTGCGTGCGCGCCTCGGCGTACAAGTGCCCAGAACATGCCTACAAACGGACACAGACCAAGGGAACCGAGGTGGAGGCAAGCTTTGCAGACTGCGCCTGCGCGCGTGGATACTTCCTCGATGCTGTCTCTCAGCGGTGTGTTCCCTGGATGCTGGCCAACTCGAACACGTGCCCTCCTTTCGCTGTGCTCACGCAGTGGCCTCTGCAGAGCAGCGCGAACTGCAAGTGCATCTACGGACTCAACGAGACCTACGAAGAAGAGGACGAAGCACGGCGAAAGGCTGAAGCTCAGGAAATTGCCAATGGTGGCACAGTGAAGGACACGCCGCCCATGCGCCGCCGCAAGAAGAAAGAGTGCAACACGAGGCCAGCCGATAGCACGAGTGCAGACTTCTCGCAGTGCCCCCACGACTCCATCGCCACGACTTGGCCTATTGTAACACCGGGTGACTGCGCGTGCCTCGAAGGTTTTGAGATGACTCCGTTGAGTGAACAGGAGGTCGCCCGTGGCGTTGGAGATGGATTCCACTGCGTGGCCTCAACCGAGAAGGCTGTGCTCGCGGATGAGGCGGCCGCAGCGTGCCACGCGCCCGGAGTTATCCACCCGCTGAGCGGTGAGTGTCGTCTTCCAGTTGAGGAGATTCCTGCCAAGAAAACCTCTGGCAAGAAGAAGACTGCAACGGAGACGAAGCCTGAAGGCATTCTCTTCAAGGGCATTGAGTACGACTACGAGCTCGTGGACGACACGATCATGATAATTCAGGGCGACATCGCTATCGGTGAACGCCTCGTTTGGGAGGACAAAGACCCTAATGACGAGGACGACAGCACGACTCGAATCGAGCACGTCCTGCACGGATACTACAACGAAGGGCGGGACCATCGGTGGCCACGCGACGAATTGTGCTTCCAAGTGGACAAGAGCGCGCGTCCGTTCCTGCGTACGCTGCTGTCTGCAACCGAGCACATCAACCACGCCACGGGCTTCAAGTTCCGCCGCTGCGCTGGCGACAACTGCCGCACGGACATGGGCTGCAGAAGCCACGATTTTGTCGTCATACAAGGCGTCGACGCGTCCTGCTACTCGTTCGTAGGTCGCATCGGCGGACCGCAGCGACTTGGCGTCTCCGCAGACTGCGGACTTGGCAACGTCGTTCACGTGCTGCTGCATGCCGTCGGACTGCGCCACGCTGTGGACCGACCAGACCGTGACGAGCACGTCCGCATCGCGTGGGAGTGCGTGCCCGAATCCAAGCGAAGCTACTTCGTAGTGGAAGACATGGGCTTGACTTCGACCCCCGCGAGAGCAGCCGACCGTGTCCTCGACCCGCCTCCGTACGACCTCTTCAGCATCATGCACCACCCGGTCGACGCCTTCGTGCACTCGGCGCCTGACGACGACAAGCCGCAGTGGTGTCCGAGTATCATTCCGTTGATCTCAGACGATGACAAGCGGCTTGCAGTGATGAAGGACATGGGCCAACGCGAGCGGATGACCACCAGCGACGTGAAATCGGTCTGGGCGTTGTATCCGGGCCTGAAGAAGAAGCACCACGACCGCCAGAAGTCCGGCGAGAGTGGAGAAGCTGAAGTTGAAGAGCTGCATGACAGCTACGTGCACACGGGCGACGACACGGTAGAAACCGCGTCGGTCGGCGGGAGCGGCAGCCACCGCGGCTTCGGGCAGCGCCTGGTGAGCTTCTTGGGAGCTGTCGTGACGCTGGTCGGCTTCGGCGCATTGCTTGCCTTCATCACCACGGAGCTCAAGCGGCGCGCGCTGCTGAGCTCCGACTCGGACTACTTCTACGAGGCACCGCTCATCGACAGCAAGAACGACATTTGAGTCGACATGGCGTCGAGTTGGCCATTTCCCTGAATGTATCGAATCCATAGTGCACATACCCACCCACCCACCCACATGAACAAACGTACACTGCATGTAGTCCATTATTGAACGACAGGTTGAAAGAAGCTTTTGAACCACCATATCCATTGCGTTCTGCGTCGCTGCTCACCATCTTCACTCTAAAGGGACGGCTTGAGCGGCCGCAGTCTGCCTCAACCAGTTCGACCAGCACCCTACTTACTTGTCCTCGGCCTCCTTCTCCTCCGCAGCGTCATCCGCCTTGGCCTCGTCGGCCTCCTCAGTCTGCTCCGGCTCCTCCACCTTGGGCTCCGGCAGCTTGCCGTCTCCTCCTGCTAAAATGTCCGCGAGCCGCGCGTTCACGTACACGTCGCCCTTGTCCGCCAGGTATCTGGCCAGCGGGATCTGCCACCACAAGCAACAACAACAAATCAATTAGAGCCACATCTAACCAATCTAATGCCGACTGGCGGCGTGGGCCCACGTACGTGCTCCTTGAGGATGCCTCCCTGCTGGTCCTGCAGCAGCTCGATGATGAGGTGCGAGTTGATCTGCATCTCGTTGGCCGCCTGCTTGGCGATGGCCACGGCCTCGTCCCACTTGCCCTGCTTCTTGGCGTTGAGCACGCGGAACGTGTACATCTTGTAGGACGTGGGCACGCGCTTGTGCCCCATGAGGCGCACGATCTCGTCCACGGTCTCCTGGTCCTCCTGGGCCGCGTAGTGCTCGGCCAGGCGCACGAAGCTCTGGTTCTTGACGTAGTGGCGCACGTTCTCGGCCTGGCGCAGGAACTCGAGTGCCGTGTCGGCCGCGTTCTGCTTGATGCAGGCCGACAGGAAGCTGCCGGCCGCGAACGTGGACGGGTAGGCCATCTTGGCGTCGCACAGCAGCAGCGTCTTGTGCACCTGCTGCAGCTCGTCCGCGCCCTTCATCTCGCGCACGATGTGGTCGATCTTGAGGGGCGTGAAGTACAGCGGCGCCGTGGGGATGGACAGCCGCGCGCCGATGGCGGTCAGCGCCTTGGTGATGTCCGCCACGCTGCCCTCGACCTTGGGGTACTCCCAGTTGCCGCTGAAGGCGCGCACAGCCTGCGCGCGGCCGGCCGTCGAGGCGCTCGCGCGCAGCACCAACTTGCGCGCAGCCAGCATCCTGTCCTGTCCTAGGGTCCTAGATAGATCGGTCGGTCGGCTCGAGTCGAGTCGCTCCTTCGGGCGCACTCAGTCAACGATATGCTCGGCCGGGCCAAGCGTGTGGCCATTAGCTCCGCGTACCGACACGGAACTGAATAGTACCGGTACTGTTTCATATACAGAGGTAATGCTCTTGTACGGGGTTTTGGGTCTCTTGTACAGAGGTCCGTAGCACCGGTTTCAGACCGGTAAGCTCATTTGGCGTTCTGCTGGCTGTGGCTGTCGCTTGTCTATTGGCAGGGGGTCAAGAAGCTCACGACAAGAAGAGCAAGTAAGGCGAACGATGGCGGGCGGCATGCAGGCGTTCCGCACGGTGATGTCGATCGGCCGGCGCCAGGGCGCGCGGCAGCTGGCGGCGCGTCCGTTCTCGGCCGCGGCCGTGCAGACGCGCTCGGCGGAGGAGTGGATGGAGAACATCCGCCTCTCGGCCAAGAAGGACGTGCTGATCAAGCGCACCAAGTTGGCGTCGTTCCTCAAGACCGTGACCACGAGCGAGCAGCTGGAGGCGTCCAAGGAGATCATGAAGATCTACGAGCAGAAGCGCGTGGACCCGGACGCCAACGCCGCCGGCCTCTTCGTCAAGAAGGCGCTGGAGCTCAACGCGCCCGACGTGGCGTTTGACGTGCTGGAGGCCAACTACCGCATCGGCCTCTTCCTGGAGCCGGCCACGCTCAACAAGCTGCTGTCCAAGTTCCTCAAGGACGGCGAGTTCGACAAGGTCTTCACGCTGCACGAGATCGGCCACAGCAAGTACAACGTCAAGAGCACGGAGCGCACCTACGACATCCTCATCCGGGCGGCCATCGAGCAGGCCGACTACGAGAAGGCTGTGGCCTTCCTCAAGACGGCTGCGTAAGTGCTACTCACTGGTTGCTATTTTGTCCTAGTTAGGTGTATTCGATGCTGACTGTGTGTATTGTCGTTCTGGTGGTGCTATCCTGTTCTTCTTTCTGCCTACAGTGAGGCTCAGAAGCTGCAGCGCGTGACGTGCAACAACCTGCTGTTCAAGCTCAAGGACAACGAGATGCAGGACAAGGTGCGTGTTTGTTCATGTTTTTTTCTTGTGGTATGGGCTGTTATTTACTGACGTGTTGTGGTTAACGTGGGCAGATCGAGGAGGTGGCGGCGCTCATGAAGACGGCGGGCGTAGAGCCCAACGAGACGACCAAGAAGATCCTGCAGTAGATGAATGGGTCTGCTGTTTCCTTCTAGCCGAGTGCATAAGCCTTTGCACATATAGCGACAACGCACAAAGAAATAAAAAGCAAAACACTGATGTCCACAGACGCCGTGCCTGGCTAGAAGCACCCGCGCTGTTACGTCAAACCTGCACCAGTGCTGGTCGAAATCGCCAGCGGAGGTGTTAGACGCGCGCAGGGTCTAACCATCGCGTTTCTCGTGCATCGAGCAGCCTGCAACGGCGAATTTGATGCAACTTTACTGTCAAATCAAACGCGATGAAGTCGCCTTTCAAGCTGAAGGACAGGGAAAGCTGAGCTGCTGTTCTACCGGTAATAACAATCTACCACACGGGCTTTATTAACGCGTTGGCTTCTACAACGCACGATGGCGTTCTACCAGTGCTGCTCTACTTGGTCTGGTTCTTGACGCCGAGGATACGGGCGCGGATCTCGTCCTGGTCGCCGAGGTAGAAGGCGCTGAGCGGCGCGATGGCGTCCTTGTGCGCGATGGGCTTGAGGTTCTCGTCCAGGTGGTAGACGAGCGGGGCGCCCGTGGGGATGTTGAGACCGGTGATCTCGTCCTCCGAGATGTTGTCCAGGTGCTTGACGAGCGCGCGCAGCGAGTTGCCGTGGGCGGCGATCACCACGTTCTTGCCGGACTTGATGGTGGGCACGATGGTGCTCTCCCACTCGGGCAGCACGCGCGCGGCCGTGAGCTCGAGCGACTCGGCCAGCGGCAGCAGCTCCTTGGGGACGTCCTGGTACTTGACGTCGTTGCCCGGGTAGTACTCGCTCGAGGTGTCAAGGTCCGGGGGCGGGATGTTGTAGCTGCGGCGCCACTCGAGCACCTTCTCGGCACCGTGCTTCTCCACGGTGGCCTGCTTGTCCAGGCCCGTGAGCGCGCCGTAGTGGCGCTCGTTGAGGCGCCAGGTCTTGTGCACGGGGATCCACATCTGGTCGCTCTGCTCCAGCACGTGCCACAGCGTGCGGATGGCGCGCTTGAGGTACGACGTGTAGGCCACGTCGAAGGTGTAGCCCTCCTGCTTGAGTAGCTGGCCGGCGGCGGCCGCCTCCTTGTTGCCCTTCTCCGAGAGCTGCACGTCGTACCAGCCCGTGAAGAGGTTCTTCTTGTTCCACTCGCTCTCGCCGTGGCGGATGAGCACGAGCGTGTGCGTGTGCTTCATGGCCTTCTGCTGCTGGTGCAGCATGCCCAGCGAGCGGTTGGCCACGCGCGAGGACATGGCGAGGGAGCGGCGGAGGGCGAGGACCATCGTCTGGAACGTGCGACTAGGACTTGAGGGGAGCGGCGCAGATTCGTTTCTGCTTGGGGGCGAGTCGACGGATCGGGATCGCCGGATGTGTAGCCGCTTTTCTGTGTGGCCACGAGTTGGCCAATACAGGGGCGAGGGCCAACCCCTTGGCTTGCTCATGAAAAGATGGTGAGCTCCACGCCCTGCACAGTGGAGTCTACGTGTACCCCCGTGCGTTGCACTACAGCACCTTCATCGCAGTGGAAATCAAAAGTGAATGCATTCAATTCGTTCGCGCACCGTCTCGGAACGGCAAGACGCTACGACTCCCGAGACGACGGCCGGCTTTATAGCATGCGAGTGACGCAGCAGCGCACAGGATCGCAAGAGTGCAGGAACCACGAGGTGCAGTCACACGCCTACTTGCGTTCCCGGCGCAGCACGATACGGAAGCTGCTGACTGACCTAGATATCCTCCTGCGACTTCCGCACAATACGACGGCAGTGCTTCTTGAAGCCATCCTTGTCGTTTCTCCACTCCACCTAAACGTTCGTCATCAAAATTCAAGCCACCGAGTCAGCCCCTAAAACTACATGCGCCGCTTCTTGCAAGAGATATCAGCGCGCCGTACTGCAGCATCGATATTGGCGGGCGAGTCGTCGTTCGGGTCCGAGAGCATGGAGATGACCGACACTAAGATGGACTCAACGCCCAGGATCGGGCGCCACCGCTCGTCCGCCGTCTCCTGCTGGTTCAGCTGGTCCTCTCCAGGCGGGTGCAGGATCGAGATGCACACCACTCCGTTCGGGTACACTGCAATGGCAACAACATCATCAACCCACCATTAGCACCCCCTCCTCCTAAACTCTACAGCAACATCTAAAGCTGAGGCTTGACGCACCGTTGGGGTGCCACATCTCCGACTTGAACGTCATCTTGGGCGGCATGTTGGGGAAGTCGGACGGGAACTCGAGCACCGCCTTGAAGAAGCCGCCCTCGTACAGCGTGTCGGGCGGGCCCACCAGCAGGATCTCCCAGTTGAAGATGTTCTCGTCGTCGCCCAGGCCGACCGACACGCCCTCAGGCGGGTTGCGGCTCATTTCTAGGCGCCCGAAAGATCCACACACGTGTCCACCAGTTAGCAAGAGATTGCACAGTCTCCAGACCGCAGATTCGAGCGGGAAGAGCGCCTATCAGGGGCTTCAGACACAGGGGGGCACCGTCACGCACCTAGAAACTGCCTCCGCAGAAGCTCCTTCGCGTAGTCCGTCGCGCCCGCCATGCTTCTCGCCCGATCCGATACTTTTTCAGTTGTGATCGCGTGGCTCAACCGCCCGTACTTCGAGTGGTGCACATCACCAAGAGGCGATTGGCTAAAACTGAAGCTATATATTGATTGGTCGATTTAAACATATAGGTTCGACCAATGAAATTGATGATAGAAACCGTTACAGTTGGTAAACTACAACTCTAGCTAGGCTTAGCGTCGTTCTGTACATGGACACTTTGGCTGCGCTGGGGGGAACCAGAGAGTGTCCTTCATCGTCCTTTCTCGATGCGGATCTCCGACAGCGAGCTGATGGTGCTGGTCTGCACGAACGTTGAGGTCGCAGGCGCAATGATCGGGCCCTTGGTGGCCTGCTCGCGCTCGAAGCGCGACGCGCCGTTGAAGACGTAGACGCCGAAGATCACGAGCACCATGCCCAACCAATTGAGCGGCGTCACGTCCTCGCCGTAGCGATAGATGGACAGCACGATGATCAGCGCGCGCTTCACGCAGTTGGCCACGCTGTGTGTTACCGGCGACACCAGACTCATGAGCATGTACGCGAGCGCGCTCTGGATGTAGAAGCACATGCCGTCCAGCACGAGCAGCACGAAGACGAACGTCGCTGAGCGGTCCGTCTTGTTCGCCTCGAGCACCGGGTCAGGCGGAGTCGCCATCCAGTTGTAGAAGATGAACATGAGCTGCATGGCCACGGCGATAATGCTAGTGTACAGCTGCAATTGCGAGGTCCTTCAAAGGCAGCAAGTTGAAGTGAACACGCTCGTTAGCACGTACACCTCAACCAATGCATAGGGCCGTTGGTTAGTGATACGTACGAGTACGAGCGATTGAGCAGTCGCTTCGTCAGCACATTCTGAATGCAATCGACGCAGTTGGACATGAGCGCGGCGATGAACCCGATGACGTGGAACGAGCTGTCCGAGAGGCTGCAGCAGATAAGTCCCGTCACGATAGGCACCAGCGAGAAGTTCACTCTCCAGCCCGTGCGCTGACCGAGTAGGAAATAGGTCAGCACGACCGTGAAGAATGGCGCAGACGACTTGATCGTTTCTGAAGAGAAGCGATGGATAGATAGATACGTCAGGAACACAATCCACAACGTCACAACATGCTCTTCCGTGCAGCAGAGCACGCCCTGATACAACGCAGAACAATGCAACGTGCCAACGTACGCGTGAAGGAGACGGCGATGTACTTGAGCGCCGTGAGTCCCAGCAGCACCGTGAGGATTCGCACGCCCGCGAGCAGCACCATGTCCTTGAGCCCGTCGTCCAGCACCTTGCGCAGGCCGCGCTTGCACACCGTCCAGCCCACCAGGTAGAGCTCGGAGCCCAGGCCGCCCACGACCGACATACCGAGCTGCGCGAGCGACAGCAGGTTCGAGTCCACGCGCAGCTTGGCCACCACGTAGCGGTTGGTCCAGAGCGTCACCAGGCTGATAACGTACCAGGCTGCCGCAGCGAGCAGCACAACACAACCCAACTCAGTTCAGCATTGCAACACAGACACAGCAGCAGCAGTAGATGGAGCACGCACCGGCGATGCAGGCGGCGACTTTGCCCTCGGTGCTGCGCAGCGAGAACGCGGCCTTCTTGTCGTGGAACTCGCCCATCGCTGCCGCCGGGTCGGGGACCAGATGCAAAGTGTTCCGGCGGCCCACGACGTGGCTGCTGAACTCTGGCGATGATCCGATTGGTCAATTGGAAAGCCTTTTATCAACCAATCCACGTCGACCGTTTCGTCACTGACCCAAAATAGCGGACATGGCTACCTTTAGCTTCAAGCTGATCCGGCGAGCTCATTGCTGTGTCAAGCAAGCGGGGACCGACCAGAAGCGGCAAAGCACCCATCGCGTTGGCTAAAGCTAAGCTCTGACGAATTCGCCGGGTCTGCTCGCGCCATGGGGGCGAAGAGCTCCAAGCCGCCGCCGCGTAGGATCGAACCGGAGGTCACAGCCGTTGAGGTTTTCCAGGACACCACGCCCCAGGCCCCGCGAGAACCCAGCAGCAATCATAAGCGGCAGAAGGGAGTCGCTCCAGCGCAGGGCGGTACGGCACATGTCGTGCGGTCGATTTTGCAGGAACCGCCGCCTCAAACCACTACTGCATCGGAGACTCCGAGCAAACCGCCCGACACTCAGACAGGCAGTGACGACAGCCACAATGCGAAGGACGGAAAGCTCAAGAAGAAGCGGCGACGCAGTAAAAAGGAGAAAAACAAGTTACCACCACCGAAACTCGTGCGGGCGCAAACGCAGCTCAACGAGCTCAAGAATGTTAAGCCGCTGCTGCAGCAGAGCCCCCAAGCCAGGCAGCAACACTTCGAGCAGATTAAAGATGCGTACGCGTTGGACGAGGAGGCGAAGAAAGCGCCACCACCGGATACTCGCTCTCGATTTTTCAACTTTGAAAGCTGGAGGAAGACGCCGCAAACACCCTCAGGAAAGGGTGACGTGCCGTCACCGGAATCATCACCTCCCCCACTTGTACGCTCCCAGGTAAGGCCCATCCTGCATCGAAACTACATTTCTATTGATGTTTATAATCTCACAAATGGTTTGATATGTTATCTCCAGCAGTCGGCGGCAGGGCCGTTCTTCGCGACTAGTGATCGAAGTTCCCGTGGCACGGAGGAGATGTCAAACGGCTCGAACGACGACCTGGAAGACAGTCGGAGTCTTGCATTAGACGACGTCGAGTCGTTTTCAGGGGCTGCAGTAACCAGATCATCCCAAATCACAATCGCGACGTCCGCATTCTTGGCGCCTACGAACCAAGTGGACCACGTCCAACCCGATATCCAAACAACCCCAGTAATCCGCGTCAGAACTAGCGACAGACGAACTCCTGAACGGTCCAAGCGATCGGTGCAGTCCCAGCGGTCGGATCTCCGCCTCGACGACGTGGACGAGGACCTCATGGAACATATCCTAACTGATGATATTAGTAGTTAATAACCGATAAGTTGCCAAGTATCTTTTTAGTTTCGTGGCAAAAGTGGTCAAGTTTCCAACTAACAAAAATGCAACACCAGCCCAAATTAAGGTTATTTTGGGTTTTCAGTATTCGAACTAAGTACGAAATGGTGATCCTGTATCATTCACGTAAAAGGGGGAGAACGCGAGGAAGCTCGAGTCGAGGCGGGACGCGATGGCGCAGTGGAGACGCTTCGCCTTCTTCGACAAGGAGGTGCTGAAAGATGCCAATGGGCCGTGGATGAAGGTGCGTGTCTGCTCTACCTGCTGCACAAATTTCGTCCTACAACGCCCTCTCTAACGTCTCGAAATCCCTCTCTCAATCTCGCCACTCTCTTTAGGGCGTGGACATCACCAGCATGAGCGCCAACCGCGGCCTCATCTGCGTGGGAGACGCCGACGGCTTCGTACACTTGGCCAACCGCTCGCTGGAGGCGCGCAAGTTCCAGGCCCACGAGCTGTTCGTGTCGCACGTCGTCATGGTGCGTGCGTCCGAGAATTAATTAGGTTGTGAAGGCGGAATCAAGTTCTAACTCTCCTCGTGGTTGTCGCTCAATAGATGAAGCGCAGCAACGTGCTGGTCACCATTGGCGACGGCATTGACCCGCGCGACGAGGAGCTGCGCGAACAGTCCAAAGCCATCGCAGAAGCAGGAAGAGGACCGAATGCCGAGGAGGTGCGTGGAATACTTTTTATTCATTTATTGTAGATTATTGCGTATAGATATTGATATGTTTTGTTGTTGCTGCTGCAGATGTACACGTCCAAGCCGACGGGCAAGAGCACGGCGGTGGTGCGCTTCTGGCGCACGGACCAGCAGGACAGAGAGGGCAAGCCCAAGCTGCTGCAGCAGATCCCTGTTTTCGCCAAGAAATACCCGGAAGAGGCGGTGACGGCGTTCGCAGTGAACGACGACTTGAGCCAGTTCGCGGTGGGACTGAAGAACGGCGCAGTGATCCTGTTCAAGAGCGACTTGAAGCGCCGTGCAGACCGCCCGCCTCAACTGCTTCAACCTGCAGGCCAATACCCCGTCACGGGCTTGGCGTTCACGAGTAAACCAGTCACAGCTACCGTAGCGCATGTGTTTTTGTACGCGTCTACGCGGCGCGGTCTCACGTGTTACCACTGCTCGCACGACGACCCTGCGTTGGTGAAGAGTGCAGGCGGCGCTGCTGCGCTTCCCCCGCGCACAACGGTTTTGGATGAGCGCGGTGTGGATATGAATTGTTCTTGTGTGAACGAGGAGGGAGAGATCGCTGTGGGACAGACGGATGCTGTGTACTTCTACACGACGGAAGACCGCTCTGTGTGTTTCGGCTTTGAAGGCGAGAAGAAGTATCTGCGCTTCTTTAAGCACTACTTGTTGGTGGCGCACGTGGATCCGCGTGGACGACACCAGGTGAATGTGTACGATCTGCAGAACAAGTTCATCGCGTTCAACTGGACTCTCACAAGTACCAACCCCAAGGGACCTATGCGCAAACCGCCACTTGCGCCGAACGCTCGCGTCCCCGGCGCACGCTTTGGACTTGACGAAATGGAGGAAGTTCGTCATGTGGTATGTGAGTTCGGTGCCATCTTCGTCGTGTCTTCTATGGGCCATGTGTACCGCCTGAGCGAGAAGGACACGACGTCTAAGTTGGAGATTTTGTTCCGAAAGAACCTGTACTCGATCGCCATTTCGCTGGCGTTCAGCTCCAACTACGATGTGAACAGCATCATCGATATCTTCCGCATGTATGGAGATCACCTGTATCAGAAGGGAGACTACGATGGATCGCTGCGTCAATACGTTCGTACAATCGGTCACGTGGAGCCGTCGTACGTCATCCGCCGGTTTCTGGATGCGCAGCGTATCCACAACCTCACAGCATACCTCGAAGCTCTCCACGAAAAGGCTTTTGCTAATGCCGAGCATACGACGTTGCTTCTGAATTGTTACACGAAGCTCAAGGATGTCAAGAAGCTGGACAAGTTTATTCAGCTGGATGAAGTGATCGATGCCAAGAAGACGAAGGGTGGCAGCGATTCTGGTGATTTGACTCCCAGGAATGGAGGCGCAGCAGCCGCCAACCTCAACTTCGACGTCGAGACTGCGATTAGTGTGCTGTGGGAAAACTACCCTCAGCACGCGTTGACGCTGGCGAAGAAGCACGAGGAGCACAGCTGGTACCTCAAGATTCAGCTTGACCACATCAGCTACGTGGACTCTGAGGACTCCGTTGCACTTTCGGACAGCGAAAAGGAGCGCGTGGCTGATGCTCTGGAGTACATTGAGCACCTGAGTTTTTCGGAGGCAGACTCAAACCTGCGCAAGTACGGACGTACTCTAGTGACTCACATGCCGGGACCTACTACGGAACTGCTGAAGCGACTGTGTACTGGCAAATTCGTCCCGGGTAACCCGTCGTTGAAATCGGACCCGGGCGACTTCTTGCACCTGTTCGTGTCGCACCGCGCCCAGCTGAAGGAGTTCCTTCAGTACATTGTCGAGGTGGAGACGGTGAGCAACACGTCTATCGGCAACACGCTGCTCGAGATGGTTCTCAGCGACGATGATGAGGGTGAAAATGGTGCTCGCTCCGTCGAGGAGAAGGAAGAAGCGGTGCTGCGCATTCTGGACAACCCTCGCGTCAAGTACGACGAGGACCACGCGCTCATTCACCTGCAGATGCATGGCATGAAGAAGGGTAAGCGCTACCTGTACAACAAGCTTCACATGTACCACATGTTGGTACAGTTCCACATCGAGGAGAACGACGACCAGAGTATTCTAGAGGAGGTGCGCAAGCACGGAGATAAGGACCCGAACCTGTGGTCGCTTGCGCTCAAATATTTCGCAGAGCGAGGGCCGCTGCCCAAGGGGGCTACGAGTGGCGAGGAGTGGAAGGAGCTGAAGCAGTTGCTTGCCCTTATCGACACGAACCCGGCGATTCCTCCGCTGCAGGTTGTCCAGGTGCTGAGTCAGTCACGCGAGTTACCCGTGTCAGTGATCAAGCAGTACGTGGTGAACCAGCTGGCCAACGACGAGAAGAAGATCGAGGAGGACGAGGAGAAGATCAAGGCGTTCAAGAGCGATACCAAGCAGATGAAGGAGGAGATCGCGCAGCTCAGCAGTCGTGCCGTGGTGTTCCAGGCCACCAAGTGCGACCTGTGCAACCACGACTTGGACCTGCCAGCGGTTCACTTCATGTGTCAACACAGCTTCCACCTCAACTGCATATCCGAGACGGATCGCGAGTGTATCACATGCTCGATGGACCACCGTCACATCCTGGGGCTCAAGACGCAGCTCGAGCAGAAGGCCGGCAACCACGAGCAGTTCTACAACCAGCTCGAGACTGCCGCAGATGGCTTCCACACGATCGCGGAGTACTTCGGCAAGGGCATTTTCAAGAGCAACGAGGTCGTGCTAGACGAAGGCTCCTTCGAGACGCGCTTCAGCGCCGAGTTTTAGTTGTGTGAACGCAAGCTTCTGTCGTTTTATTTGTTTCTTTGCTGCTTTGTTTATTTTACTCGGCCTCTGTTGGCTCCTTCTTCCAGCCTCATGTCAAGTCGATGACTTCGGATGAGTCTACTTCTTCTTTTCGCCGGCGCTTACGGTCTCGCTCGCTGTTTCCATGGCTACTGGTGTCACCGCATGAAACTTGTTTGCTCTTTTCTTCGTCTTCGTCGTCCAGCAGCACAATCGTGGCTGGAGTAGCAAAGTCCGATCGACGAGTTGGTGGTGGTGCCTGCGTCTGAGGTGGTGCACCCTCCTCCTCGTCATCGAGAAGAATGATTTCCGGCTCGCTGTGTGCTGTGTGTTGCGGCTTTGATGCCGCAGTTGCAGAGTCATCTTCCTCCTCGTCACTGCTTTCGATGCCCAGCACCTCATGCGAAGCTCCTTCTCGCAGCACATTTCTACAGTGCTTGTTGTCTCGACGTCGTCTCTCGGCAGCCTCCAGCACCTTTCGACGTAGTGCCTGCGGGTCGAGGGGCTTATTGGACGCACCATTCGATGTATTCGACCCAAGCCGCCGACTTGTCTCGCCTCCAAGCAGCGAGTGATACTGCAAGCACCAACAGTAACCAAATACGTCAGCAGAAGAACCTTTAGCTCATAAGACCCCCGTGTACTGTACGCATCCACCTGCTCTCTCCGCTTCGCCGCCAACACGGCCGCAACTCGAATGGGGACGCCTGCACTGTTCCCACCAAGTCTCTGGCCTGCCCCAGCGTCTGCGAACTTGGCGCCTTCTTCGCCCACGAGGCCGCGCACCATGAGCGACTCCATCTCTTGCTTCAGCTCGTCCAGATACTGGTAGAACGCTTGGTTGTGCGGCCCGTGCACCATGTGCGTGAGCTCGTGCAGCAGCGTCTCCAGCAGCGCCTCATAGGGCAGGAACGACTGGGGCGATCGCTGGGGTCTCACTGGGCAGTCAGTCCATACACCACGACACACAGGTCGTCAGAGAGCAGCAACACCACACTGCAGAGCATTGCAGACGCCAGTCGTACAGCGCACGTAGATTTTGGCGCCGCGGTTCACGTTCATCCCGAGCAGGCAGCCATCCTTGGGGAAGAACTCGAGCAGCCATCGCACTCGGAAGCGCCTCTTGGTCAGGATGGGCAGGACGGCGGCGGCGAGGCGCTCCAGGAGCTGCTGGGCCCGCGCGCGCTGCGGCTGTGGCTGCCGGACCAGCGCCTTGACCTCGGGGATGGCGAAGGACGTTGACATGGCTGATTGGCCAATTCGGCTACGTACGTACTTATCTCGGTGGTCGACACCGGTTCATGTTGAAGTCAACTTCTAACGTTAGCAGTATTATCGCGCGGTGCAGCTACAGTAGACTAGATGGCAAGAAAGAAGAACACGGCCAAGTAGTGGCGAGTACAAGCTTAAATGAAACAGAGCTCGACTATGAGAACTTTTGGCCGAGTATCTTGTGTAGCGGTTCACTGGTTGCTGCTGCTTTCGATGGGCGGACAGAGCTCGCAGCCTTCGCAGCAGCGCTCGCACACAGGACCGAGCTGCGTCTGAGGGATGAGGACGAGGTCTCCTGTTTGCTTGGACGTCGTCATGTTCAGGAACTGGCTGATGGGGCAGTCCTCGTCGGCAGCCTGCCAGCGAAGGAACACCAACAAACAGCAACACAGCAATAACCCCATCAGGACAGGACTCAACCATAGAGGCTTGAAGCTGTTGCAGCGTCTCACCGCAATGACGTGCGGCACGTCCTCGTTCTCGTCGGCGAAGTGTCCGAAACAGTACGTCTGCATGGCGTTGGGCGGCCAGCCGTGCGGGTTCGCGGACGTCGCGATGAGCGCCAAGACCTCCTGGAACATGACGCTGCGCCGGATCACGTCTTTGGTCTGCAGCAGCTCGATGCGCGGCCGCAGCTGCGCGAAGGTGACGGTCGCGACCTCCTTGTCGTCGAGGTTGAGCGTGCCCACAACGGGCAGCAGTCCGCCCTGCACATTGGCGCGCCCGTCGAGATCAGTCAAGCGCTCGAGCGGACCAGACAGCAAGTGGGCCAGACACACACACGACAGCGCACCTCGATGGTGCCGACGACGTACGAGTTCTGCTTCCTCGGGTCCGACGGGAACGTGAACACGCGCACCTTCACCCGTACCATTTTGGTGCGGCCAGCGCCAGGCTGCGAGTCTCCAAGGGGCGGCCGTTCTCCTCAGTGCGGATGAGCGCTGGCTGCTGCGTGGCAGCTTGAAAACATTAAACTACTAGTACCACGTAGTAGTATCTAAGAAAGACATCTACGCAGACAGTAGTGGCCACTACTTCAAAGTAGTCGCAACGATGCTCGAGATACTACGTCTGGGATGAAAAAGTATCAAAGGCATATACATTGGTGTTGAAGGAGCCTCTCGCGAGTTCCCATTTACTTAAAAGTACACTTTGGCTTGTCCACATAAATACTGTAACAGGACGGAAGCTGCTGCGCGGCGCGCGCTGCTTGTTCGAGTCACGGGTCGCGGTCGCCTGCCTATCCAAGGGCTGTGGCCCCACGGCCTCTCTCCTCGACTTGCTCACTGAGCCGGCTGCAGCCGCTCCGCTGGTCACGACGAACGTCCGCTCGAGTCCGTTCGCTTGCTTCAGAGCGCATTTCGACGCTCGGCGGGCGACGGGAGGCTTAGATGTACACCCAGCCGGAGCGCTCGAAGGCCGTGGACGGGTCCTCCTTCTCCAGCTTGGACTGCGGGGACACGGCGCTGAAGTGCTTCTCGGCGGGCGACTTGCCGGTCATCGGGCGGGCGATCACGTGCTTGAGCTGGTCGAACATGGCTGCAATTGTCGTGGTTGTTGCTGGCTTTGTACTGGAAGGCGGGTGCTTGCCTCGGCTCAATTGACTTAACGTGCTGCTAACGACGCAAATTGGGAACTGAGCCATCCGAGTTGTTGCATGCATCGACTGGAAACCAAGCGTCGTTTCGCACGCTACCGCCGAAAGTACGACCCCGCGAGAGCTGATGGACAGCGCGCGGCTTTGTCGGCTCCCCGGCTGGTCGCTGTGTGTGTGACCGGTCGAGAACGGATACCCTGCCGAAGCCGATTGTTGAAGTCGGCGGGGGGACTGCGCGCTGATTGGCTGATGGTGATATGGAAGCGAACAGAGTGATAGGGACGCGTCACGACCTGGCTGACAAGTCTTTTCGGACCAGCGTCGGCAGCGCTCATGGCGCGTTTGCATGGCGCGCCCGCTCTACGCGCGCGGTTCTGGTCTCCGTCCCGCAATGCTCGTATATCGCAGGCAGCGCCTGCGACGCAATGCCCGAGGCAGATCCTGCCAGCCTGCTGCGGCACGGGAGTCGACTTCCTAGGCCGGGCGACAATGATTTTCTTCAGGCCTGCTAGTTAGGCCCGGCGAGTTCGAGATATTGGCGCTATCTATGCGCGCGGCAAAGATGCCAGCTTCACTCAGCGACTGCTGACATTTTGGGCCCCCCAAGCGGAAGCCTCCTACCGGTACGAGTCGCAGACACGCGCGGCGTTTTCCCAGCGAAAGCGCTGGCCGGTTTCTCTCGGGTGGCTTCAAGCTGCCGCGGCCAGGGAGGGCGCACCAACCAGCGGATGTCCGCCGTACAGTGCGCGGTCGTCGCTCAATAGCTTGCTGCAGCAAGCCTTGCAGTCCCGGTCTATTAACTGGCTGGCCCCGATCAAGCTGATACTGCGGGAAAATGCACCGTCACATAATTGGCGTCAAACGAACGGCTCCTTGTTCTTTTTTGTCAGGCAGGCTCTGTCGACGAAGCGCGTTGTCGAGGCGCTGGGCAAAGCTAGCCTTGCGAGCGCGCTTGCCCTGGGCTGCGCTGCGCGGGGCCCAGCCAGCAGCGCCAGCAGCGCGGAGCGACCAGCCGACTGGCCATTTACATGGAGCTAGGTCCCTGGATATCCGGCGATATGCACGTTGAACCCAAACAGCAGCAGATGGTGTCGTATGTTGAAGCAGTGTAGGGGTTCAACCATGTGCGCCGCGGCGACTACTGCGAGCTCCGTTGCGGACCTAAATCTTAGGACGGCCGTGAATGTAGGCCAGCGAGCTCTTCAGGACGCTGTCCTAAGGCTTTCCGCAAGCTGTTGATGGCTCCTTATTGGTAGATTTGGAAGTGATGGTTCTAGTAATCGTCGGCATTTTTTTCTGTGCGTTGGGAATTTTCATCCCAAAACAAACAAATAAATGCATGTAACATCTCGAACTTGTTTTGTCTGGAGAATCGGAATCATGACTTGCCGAGCTAGCCATTATGCTGTACACAAGAGTGATAGAGTACCAGGATTCGAGCTCGATTTACATTGTAAATGATTGTAAATTTTACAATCTCTCTGAGATCCCAACTTGCAAGCTACATGTAATGTTACTGTTGCTCAAGCGAGCGGATGCAAAGTTGCAAATATGAATAGCAGCGATTTGCCATGGTACGACGCTGGCACGCAAAAAGTGGCTATTTGGTTAATCAATTTCAGAAGTGGCTAGCCGGCAAGCAAAAAGTAGCTACTTCAAAATAAATACTTCTCTGGCCCACCTAAGAATCGACATTTCTATTTTTCCGCTCTAAAAAAATCAAAAAAAATCTGTCGGAGACAAATAATAGCTCAAAAGAAAGCTGGGATTTGGGGGTTTCGCGTTATACTATTAGCTGCTCAAAAACAGCAGGATTAAGGGAAACAGAGCAAATTTCGTAAGCCCGTTTTTGGGTAACATTAGGTTTTTTTGCGAAATGGCTACAATTTTTGGCGATATTATACCAAATGGTATCATTGGAAAGCTTAGTTAGCTGTCAAAACAGTGCTGTGCAGTTCGCCGTCGTAGAACGCGTGCGGAAGGTGTGGCATTCGTCTAGATTTTGAGGTTTTTCTAAGCAATTTCGTGAGCTTGTACTCTAATCAAACTTTGTACCCAATCATATGGCTGAAACCGTATATTTAGCAAGTGAGTTCGCAAAAAATGAGTCTAAATTGAATTGTCGATTCTTAAGTGGGCCAGAGAAGTACAGTTAAACACAACAACAAACCATATTATTCATTAAATCTCCACTACGGTAGTTGGCCGGTGCTGTAATTTACTCACATTTTTCATTTTCATCTTCATTTTGCAGGTGAGGTATACTGTGTTCATTTAGTACGAGGTCCTAACGATCACCAATATCCGCAGCGAACATCCATACACGTTGTTAGCCGTATGAGCCGGTCACTCACAAGCTGCAATATTGAATCGACACCATGCATATACTCACTTTCGCAGTGTTCTTCACGACGCTCCGTGTTCGGCCCTTCACCAAAAAGGGGCGCTGTCTGGTGCTGGTAATTGATGACAAAGAGACCAATGCAATAAGCCGCAGTAACTGTCCACCACCAGCCCAACAGCTTGCGGAAAGCCTTAGGACAGCGTCCTGAAGAGCTCGCTGGCCTACATTCACGGCCGTCCTAAGATTTAGGTCCGCAACGGAGCTCGCAGTAGTCGCCGCGGCGCACATGGTTGAACCCCTACACTGCTTCAACATACGACACCATCTGCTGCTGTTTGGGTTCAACGTGCATATCGCCGGATATCCAGGGACCTAGCTCCATGTAAATGGCCAGTCGGCTGGTCGCTCCGCGCTGCTGGCGCTGCTGGCTGGGCCCCGCGCAGCGCAGCCCAGGGCAAGCGCGCTCGCAAGGCTAGCTTTGCCCAGCGCCTCGACAACGCGCTTCGTCGACAGAGCCTGCCTGACAAAAAAGAACAAGGAGCCGTTCGTTTGACGCCAATTATGTGACGGTGCATTTTCCCGCAGTATCAGCTTGATCGGGGCCAGCCAGTTAATAGACCGGGACTGCAAGGCTTGCTGCAGCAAGCTATTGAGCGACGACCGCGCACTGTACGGCGGACATCCGCTGGTTGGTGCGCCCTCCCTGGCCGCGGCAGCTTGAAGCCACCCGAGAGAAACCGGCCAGCGCTTTCGCTGGGAAAACGCCGCGCGTGTCTGCGACTCGTACCGGTAGGAGGCTTCCGCTTGGGGGGCCCAAAATGTCAGCAGTCGCTGAGTGAAGCTGGCATCTTTGCCGCGCGCATAGATAGCGCCAATATCTCGAACTCGCCGGGCCTAACTAGCAGGCCTGAAGAAAATCATTGTCGCCCGGCCTAGGAAGTCGACTCCCGTGCCGCAGCAGGCTGGCAGGATCTGCCTCGGGCATTGCGTCGCAGGCGCTGCCTGCGATATACGAGCATTGCGGGACGGAGACCAGAACCGCGCGCGTAGAGCGGGCGCGCCATGCAAACGCGCCATGAGCGCTGCCGACGCTGGTCCGAAAAGACTTGTCAGCCAGGTCGTGACGCGTCCCTATCACTCTGTTCGCTTCCATATCACCATCAGCCAATCAGCGCGCAGTCCCCCCGCCGACTTCAACAATCGGCTTCGGCAGGGTATCCGTTCTCGACCGGTCACACACACAGCGACCAGCCGGGGAGCCGACAAAGCCGCGCGCTGTCCATCAGCTCTCGCGGGGTCGTACTTTCGGCGGTAGCGTGCGAAACGACGCTTGGTTTCCAGTCGATGCATGCAACAACTCGGATGGCTCAGTTCCCAATTTGCGTCGTTAGCAGCACGTTAAGTCAATTGAGCCGAGGCAAGCACCCGCCTTCCAGTACAAAGCCAGCAACAACCACGACAATTGCAGCCATGTTCGACCAGCTCAAGCACGTGATCGCCCGCCCGATGACCGGCAAGTCGCCCGCCGAGAAGCACTTCAGCGCCGTGTCCCCGCAGTCCAAGCTGGAGAAGGAGGACCCGTCCACGGCCTTCGAGCGCTCCGGCTGGGTGTACATCTAAGCCTCCCGTCGCCCGCCGAGCGTCGAAATGCGCTCTGAAGCAAGCGAACGGACTCGAGCGGACGTTCGTCGTGACCAGCGGAGCGGCTGCAGCCGGCTCAGTGAGCAAGTCGAGGAGAGAGGCCGTGGGGCCACAGCCCTTGGATAGGCAGGCGACCGCGACCCGTGACTCGAACAAGCAGCGCGCGCCGCGCAGCAGCTTCCGTCCTGTTACAGTATTTATGTGGACAAGCCAAAGTGTACTTTTAAGTAAATGGGAACTCGCGAGAGGCTCCTTCAACACCAATGTATATGCCTTTGATACTTTTTCATCCCAGACGTAGTATCTCGAGCATCGTTGCGACTACTTTGAAGTAGTGGCCACTACTGTCTGCGTAGATGTCTTTCTTAGATACTACTACGTGGTACTAGTAGTTTAATGTTTTCAAGCTGCCACGCAGCAGCCAGCGCTCATCCGCACTGAGGAGAACGGCCGCCCCTTGGAGACTCGCAGCCTGGCGCTGGCCGCACCAAAATGGTACGGGTGAAGGTGCGCGTGTTCACGTTCCCGTCGGACCCGAGGAAGCAGAACTCGTACGTCGTCGGCACCATCGAGGTGCGCTGTCGTGTGTGTGTCTGGCCCACTTGCTGTCTGGTCCGCTCGAGCGCTTGACTGATCTCGACGGGCGCGCCAATGTGCAGGGCGGACTGCTGCCCGTTGTGGGCACGCTCAACCTCGACGACAAGGAGGTCGCGACCGTCACCTTCGCGCAGCTGCGGCCGCGCATCGAGCTGCTGCAGACCAAAGACGTGATCCGGCGCAGCGTCATGTTCCAGGAGGTCTTGGCGCTCATCGCGACGTCCGCGAACCCGCACGGCTGGCCGCCCAACGCCATGCAGACGTACTGTTTCGGACACTTCGCCGACGAGAACGAGGACGTGCCGCACGTCATTGCGGTGAGACGCTGCAACAGCTTCAAGCCTCTATGGTTGAGTCCTGTCCTGATGGGGTTATTGCTGTGTTGCTGTTTGTTGGTGTTCCTTCGCTGGCAGGCTGCCGACGAGGACTGCCCCATCAGCCAGTTCCTGAACATGACGACGTCCAAGCAAACAGGAGACCTCGTCCTCATCCCTCAGACGCAGCTCGGTCCTGTGTGCGAGCGCTGCTGCGAAGGCTGCGAGCTCTGTCCGCCCATCGAAAGCAGCAGCAACCAGTGAACCGCTACACAAGATACTCGGCACAACATCTCATCTGTTTTAATGAAGCTGCTTAATTGCTACTATCCTTATTGCCATCACCCACGACCTTTGCGTTTACTCCGCCATGCACCGGAGGCGGCGGCTGGATGGCGTCACGCCCCACCTCGACGCTCCAATTGGGCAGCGACGGATGCAGACTGGCGTACATGGACAGCTCCTTGATGCCCGCGCGCACGGACGCTAGCTCCTCGCGGATCTTCTGCGCGTCCGTGAGGTCCTTGTTGGCGTGGAACTCCGTCTTGATGTCGCGGATGATCGACTCGCGCTTGACGCTCGGGTAGCGCTGCGCCAGCTTGAGGATGCGCCGGTACATGCGCAGCACCTCCTTGGTCTCCGCCATCGTGCTCACTGAGTAGTTTTGTGTTGTGTGCGGCACACCACAAGCGCCCCCATTGGTCGAAGCCCGCGTGGATCGAACTTCGCTCGTCACTTCACCAGTCTTCGGCATCGCACCGCCGAAGCCTTCCGTCTCGCCCTCGCGGCGTTCCAGTCCCTCTCTCTCTAGCTCTACACACGCTGCCTCGCCTTCCCCGTCGTCTCCTGCACTTGTATCTATTGTACCTATCTCCATATCTATTTAATCCACTGCCCGCCGCCCGCCATCATGAGGTGCGTCTCTCTGCGTCATGAGCAAAGGATCTCCTGGCCGTGGGACGAGCTTATTGACCGTTGTGACTTGGTAAATAGCAGAAATAATAGCAGTCGCAACAACAGCAATGGCGGCTCTGGACGCCGTGGTCCACGTAGAGAGCAGGTGCGTTGACTGGAGCGGTGTGGACTTGGATCTTGTAGCTGACGGATTGGTCGTTTACGGATACGTCATGCAGAAGAAGAACATGGACTACGAGGCTCGTGTCACGCGTAATGGAGTCTCCGCCAACCACCTGCTCAACTTCTCCATGCCTGAACGCGAGAGACACGTGCACCACCACCAGAAGAAAAAAAAGAGCTCGGCGCCTCGCACGCAGAGCGAGTATCTGCACGCCAAGTACGTCTGCGATGAAGGGGTTATGTCAGTATCTCTATCTAAAAATTGCTGTTACTGTGTGTGTCTAGCTACCGGTTCGTGATCGCACCACTTGATCCGGACGCGGTCGTTCCAACGTGGGATCTGGAGGCACTGACGGAATGTAAGCTGCGTCTCGAGTTGAATATGCGTGATGATTATTGTCGGGTTTTGACAATCAATCGTGTATTGCAGGGTCTTCGGTTGAGCAGGTATTGCTGTGGTATGACGTCGAAAGCCCGCAGACCTGCCCGATTTGTATGGACACGTTCCGTGCACCGAAAATTACCAAGTGCGGCCATATCTTCTGGTACGAGCGCGTGATGCTAAATGGACGTTGAGCATCATTTTTGTTGTATCTAACGGCTGCGATACCATGTTTTTCAATTAGTTGGCCATGCATCCTGCGCTACCTGTCTATGACGGACAAGTACTGGCGTCGATGCCCGATGTGCTTTGAGTCCGTTCAAAAGGGGCATCTGCGCAGTGTGCAGCTCCAGCAACTGCAAGTTCCCCCTCACGTGGGCGATGACGTAGCTTTCCAGTTTCTGGAACGCCCCAAGTCCAGCATGTTCCCCCAGCTTCGTGTCCTCCCTCCCGCTGAAGCTAAAGGGGATCTAGCCGGGATCGAAGCTACTTCGCACTCTGCGTTGCCTTCTCCAGACGCTCCTGCATTTGCAAAGCGTAAACGCTCCCGGAAGCTGCCGCGTGTGGATGATGTCGATGCGACGTACTCGCGCATTCTGGAGGCAACGCCTGATTATCTTCGGGAGCTCCTGTACTCGGAGATGCGCGATCTCCAGTCGATGGATGCCGAGTTTCGAAGTAGTGGGGACGTTGACAACCTCCCTTTCGTGGAAGAGGCTATGCGGAATACCTCGGGGCGGCTTGCCAAGAGTGACGACTTCAGTCACGGCACTTATGGCTCCAACCATGCCAACAACGCTATCGGTAGCGGTTCAGCTACAGGCGTGAAAGGAAAGCCGCATCAAAACGAAGGTGGCGACGCGTATTCCTTCTACCAGATCGCGAATGGGACATACGTGGTTCTCCACCCGCTGAACATGAAGTGCCTGCTGAAGGAGTACTCGGACGAGCACCAGCACGAGTTAGAAGGCGATCACGGAGATGACGCACACCAAAAGGAGCTGGAAGCTGCGTGGACCCCGTCAGCGAGCTCGGAGCCGTTACCTGTTGATCGCTACCATTTGCTACCCGAGCAAATCCGCGGACGTGTACTGGACATCGAGCACGTGGTCATGGACGAGGAAGCGCAGAAGCGCTACCGTTTCTTGAGCCACTTGCCGCGCTTCTGCGACTTCTACATCTGCGAGCTCGATCTAACGTCGCAGCTGTCTCCGTCGACGCTCAACTCGTTCCGCAACGACCTCAAGAAGCGCGCCAAGCAGCGGAAGCAGAAGCAGAGGCAGCAGAACGCGCCGTCTCCGTCGTCTCCGATCTTCAAGAGCAATGCAGCGGCGTTCTCGCTGGAGCAGGAAGGAATGATGTGGCCGTCGCCCTACGAGCAGGCGCTGGCCGAGTCACTAGAGGAGTTCCATCTCACTAATGCATCGAGCGTCGAGTTCGAGGGTGAAGTCCACGCAGCGGCCACTCCGGCCTCGCCGTACTCCGACGACGTGGGGAGGTCGTTCGCCAGAGTGACGGAGAACTCGGGGTACTTCCCCGTGCTGGGGGGCGGACCGAGCGAGACCAGGGCCCACGTGACGGACCCCATTGCATTTGGATCGCCCGCTGCCTGGGGAAACCCGTCCACCAGTCCGCCCGCAGTCGCCTGGAGCTCGGGCAAGGGCGGCAAGAAGAAGGGCGCAGGCAAGAAGGGCGTCTCCGTGTTCTCGACCACGCAGCGCCGCTCGTACCGCTGACTTTGAGCAGGGCTGCAAAGCGACATGGATACAGTATGTGGACGTAGAGCTCAGCTGACGTACAGTACTGATGAAGTTGGCCTGGTCCAAGTTGATGATGGTCCAGTCGGCGTAGCGCCGCCAGTAATTCTTTCCACAGACCCGATGCCCATACAAAGTCTAATGCGAGGTACCTCTGTAAAACCCGTCAAAGATTACGCTAATTCACGTTCCGTGTTGCGCTCATTGACGTCAGCCGGAGCTTTCCTCTCATTCCTCAATCTTCTCCGTTGAGCGCAAGCCCCCAAGCCACCCCAAGAAGTCAATCCAAGGATGACCAACGTCGCCATCATCTACTACTCGACGTACGGCCACATCGCCACGATGGCCGAGTCCGTCAAGGAGGGCGTCGAGTCCGTGGAGGGCGTCACGGCCGAGATCTACCAGGTGCAGGAGACGCTGTCCGAGGAGATCCTGGGCAAGATGCACGCCCCGCCCAAGAAGGACTACCCCGTGGCCACGCCCGACGTCCTCAAGAACGCGGACGGCGTGCTGCTAGGCATCCCCACGCGCTTCGGCTCCATGCCGGCCCAGGTTAAGGCGCTGTTCGACGCGTGCGGCGGCCTCTGGGCCGCTGGCGCGCTGGTGGGCAAGCCCGTGGGCATCTTCTTCAGCACGGGCACCCAGGGCGGAGGCCAGGAGACCACGGCCTTCACGTCGGTGACGTTCCTCACCCACCAGGGCATGACCTTCGTGCCGCTGGGCTACCGCAGCCCGCTGCTCTTCAACATGGAGGAGATCCACGGCGGCAGCCCCTGGGGCGCGGGCACGCTCGCGGGCGCCGACGGCTCCCGCCAGCCGAGCAAGCTCGAGTTGGATGTCGCCAAGGTACAGGGCGAGTCCTTCGCCGGTGTGGCCAAGAAGCTGTCGGCCTAAGCCCGCAGTGCTAGCAGCAGCGGCATGCGTCGATAACCGTAGCTAACGTCATTAATTGCATGCTTACGTTGAACCCATTCCTCGGAAAAGATAAGAACGCCCCTCAGGGGCGTTCTTATCAGAGGTAGATTGGTATCACCGTACAACCAGGTCCAAGTGTGCTAGAGACGTGCGGGTATCACCGTGCAACATGCACCTCGCTGATAAGAATGAAATGTATCCGTTCACCCAATTTTTCAATAGTCAACTTTCACCTCTACTTTTTTTTTATTTTTATTTTTTTTAGCCGTAGAGAGCGCTAGAAACCGCACTAAAATAGGACAAGACGACACGGGGTGTGGAGCCACCACTTGCCGTCCCCTCTTCCAGCCACTGCAGCGGTGAAGGAAGGTGGCATGGAAGCACAAGACAGTCAAGCAAGTGAAGAGTACATCTGATCTGCTTTATGGATGCTGTTTTAGCGACGTTTTTGCGCGGAAATTTGTAGAGAAAACTGCTCGCATACAAAGCGCTAGTGTAACTTCGGGATGTGCTATAGATAGCAGATGCACGATGTATTTCCCTAGTGACTTTTGATTGGACAGTTTGTTCTGTATCCCTAATCATGTAGTATCTCATAATTAAGGTTACGCGGTACCGCGGTACGAGGGAATTCAACTGCAAAATTTCGACTTTCCCCTTCGTACAACTGTGAACTCTTTCAACTTTGACAAAGTTCATATGCTACCATCCGTGCAACCTCGTGATACCTTGCGCCTTTCTACGTCAGGGACGATTACGCTCGAAAGTTGTTCGAGGTTGCACGGATACAACCAAAATCTACCAATCTACCTCTGTTAAGAACGGCCCTGAAATGGGCTCGCGGGAAAATGACAACAGACGTATGAAAACGAGTTTTAAACGCAGAAGGGTAGCTACCAGCTATCCCTATCCTCTACCGATCTCAATCATACCGCGCATACACGTCTACTGACAAATGAGCACCTACCATAATTAACTCAGGCGTCCCCCTATTGATTCCATGATATTCGTGCTTAGAGCAATCCCACCCGTTTGAACAAAAAACCAAAACTAAAAGCGAACTTAGCTTAGGTTCGTGAAAGTATTAGTTTTCAAGTCGAACAAAACCAAAACAAAACCTCAACAAAACTAAATTTGCTGCACATACAAAAACCAATATAAATGAAGCGTCGCTACTATCCTGCAGCTATCCCGCAGCTATATTTGACCGTGCTTTAGCTCCAGATGGACGTTTTCTAACACTTCTGAAGGGTCGCCCTCCTTAACTTTATTGGCTCGCCCAGTCTGCAGATTTGACTTTAGTTTTGTTCAAACGGGTGGGATACATAAATCTGCCACATAACCTCATATAAATAATACTTCAAGGTCCAACAACAGGATGAACGGAGATGCAAAGGTACTGATGTAAAAATCCAGGATACCTTTGTTTGGCTAAAAGTACTAATTGAAAATTGGCGCCCTTTTGATTGTCTGTGCGATCTTCTCTGTATTTACGATTCCACTTTCACATTTGCGCACTACCCGCTAAGCCCTCTACGAGTAGTACAAAGTAGAGCTACTAACCGCACTGATGTGGTGCGAACACGCTTGGTCGAAGGTCAGCGCTGAAACAACTCAGCACTGCTTTACTCGGGTTTGATTAACTAAGTAAGCGCCAAATCCCGTCTAAGATAAACTAATTCAGTACGCAAACTAATTCAGTAACGCTGAGATCACTTTATAAACCTAGAGCCCTTATATATATCAGGCGTTCGGTATTCAGGCAGAGTTCTGTATTAGACACCTCGGTGTTCTGCCGGATCAACGCGTACATGGTAGCTGTTCATGCATTGCAGGTTGGCCACTGTTCTCACGCGGCGTCACGGGAGGGATCACAGATCTCCAACGTATCACGCAAGGGCCCACTCAGGTCTCCAGACTCAGAGGCCCTATAGCCCAGGGTCGCCACTGCGCGGGCTTGCTTGAACTCCTTGCTGCTGGTGGACACAGCTGCGCCGGCCCCTGAAGACGTCGCGGGTTATCGTGGCTAGCCTTTCGCACAAACGTTCGGTATCCCTTGATTGGTCGACGCATCCATCCACCAGAGTGAAGGACCGAAGCTTCCTCCACTTCGCATCGCTATCAGTGAGCTTCTGGCGACCCGACCAGCCTCCAGAAGCTAACTTGATTGGGACTTTCAGGTTGAGAATGTCCACAGACATCACCGTACTTGTTCGAAGCCAGCGGGGGTTCACCAACTACCACGCCGTAGACGTAGTAGCTCACAGTGTTGTGGAGTAGCGGCTTCACAGAAATCGCGGAGTTCGTCCTCGCACACCCCCGACGCGTCCAATCTGCGGTCGCGACGGGCAATTTCCCGGATCTTGAGTATCGTATCTTCGAATATAGAGCCCAAGTCTTCGCAAGCTTCAGAGTTGGGGGGGGGGGGGGGGGTTGAGTGGACGCTTGTTCCTTGTTCTAGGGCGTCGGTTGTTCCTTGGGCGTGCGGACTTATCGGGCCGGCGTTTCCTTGGAGATCCCGTCGGGCGTGCGGCATTATCGGGCCGGCGTTTCCTGGGGCTTGCTGCGTGGCGTTATCGGGTCGGCGCGGTGTCTTGTGCACAGCGGTTATCAGGCCGTGCGGTCCTTCGTCTAGGCTGCGCGTTATCGAGAGCCTCCTAACCGGTATACGTTTTACGTGCCTTCGTTTCCGACACGGGGTTTGAGGGGGGTGAGTGCCCGAGCCAGCGAGCGACGGGGGGCCGCGTATTCCTTGCGGCTCTGCTTGCCGACGCTTGGTGGTTCTCAAGAACCTGGCGATCTTCCGGAGGGGAAAGGTCTGAGTGGTTCAGAGAAATTTCGGGACTGAGTCCTTACCCTATCCTATGTCCTTGCTACTGGCTACTCTGTACTACTGCTTGCTAAGCCTACCGCTCTGCACCTATCCTTACTTCTGTCGTGCTTGCACTACCGCTCTTCAACCTGATTTGCGTAACGTAATCACAACTTGAGCTCGACGGGATTTCCTCGACGGGATTTCCTCGACGGAATTTTCTCGACGGGGTTTTCTCGACGGGGTTTAGGGTTGACGGGGTTTAGGGTTGACGGGGTTTTGGGGTCGACGGGGTTTGCATGACCGGGCGTATGAACCGGCTCGTCGAATCAACCAGAATTAGCCTGATTCCGCCGCCGGGATGCGTGTCACACGGCCCATCATCCCGTTAACCTCTCTGGCCATTCCGACGCGTCGTATTCCATCCGTCTCGTCGGCTGCCATCTTTCCCGGCACTTCCCGTCACTCGTTCTCTAGCGCGACATCTCGTGGGTGCTATTCCACATCCGTCCCGCTGCCACGCACGCGCACTCCCCAGGTGGGTGTGCCGTTGCAGAACTTTTCTCGCACCCGTCGCGCCCCGCCCTGTCGAAGCCTCTCCTGTCGCTGTGCATCGCCGTCGCTCCTCTCAAGTCCATGGTTTGTCGCGAAGACGTACGGGCTGCCGACATAGAGGTGGTCGACGACGAACTCGACACCGAAGACCTCGAAGCTGCCGGCTGTGCCGTCTGCGCGAGTGAGGCGCACCGCCCTCGTCCCCCTGCGCGTTTTCCCGTCACGCTTCCAGCACCTGGTATGCGGTGGCGGCTCTCGTCGCCGACGCACATACCCTCGCCCAGGAGAATCGGACGCTCCGGGCTCAGTATGAGCTTGTGTCGGTGAACAATGCCGGCTTGGCTGCTCACGCTTCCGTGTTGCACGATCGGAACCTCGCTCTCCTTCACCGCGCCCGCGAAGATTATCAGGCGGGTTTGGTGATGCTTGAGCAGGCGCTCTTGTCTCGCGCGCGCACGGAGCAGGCTAACGTCGACCTCGAAGACCGCGTACGCGGCCTCCGCGATCAGGCCGGACGCGTGGATGCGGCCGAGACCCAGCTCCGGGTGTTCAAGGCTTCGTCGGTTGAGGATTACCACGCCCTCCAGGACCAGCTCGCCGCCTCTCAAGCGCAGGTAGCTGACCTGTCTGCGCGGCTCGCCCCCCCCCGGTGCCGGCTCCTCCCTCGACGTCTACGGTCTCTATGGCGCGGTTGTTCGCCGCGCTCGGTGAGCGGGACGACGCGCGTGCTGAGCGCGACGACCTGTGTACTCGGCTAGCTGCTGCGGAAGCTGCCCTCGTCCCTGTCCAGGCTCAGCTCGACGCTGCCGTAACGCAGCGAGATCGGGTGCGACAGTCTGTCGCCCGTCGAGAGCGACAACGTGACGGCGCCCTCGCCGAACGTGACCAAGCACGTCGGGATCTCGTTGCGCTCGAGCAGGAGCGTAACGCGGTCGTCGGGGAGCGCGATCAGGCTCGGCAGGAGTCCCTCACTCTGGAGCAAGGTCGTGACGCTGCAGTCCGTGAGCGCGACCAGGCACGTCGAGCCCAGGCGGGAGTGGAACAGCAGCGCGACGCTCTGGTTGAGAATCTGCGCGTCACTCGCAACTCGCTTGCTCAGAGTCAAGCTGAGACTGAGTCCACCCGGCGGCTGAACGACCCGCTGCATGCCGACATCCGGCGCGTGAATGCGTTGCTGGTTGCCCACGCCGAGGAGCTCCAGCGCGAGACGGCTCGCATACGCGAGCTGGAGGAGACAGCCGCGGCTGCCTCGACTACACGCGTGGTCGCAGAGGCAGAGACGGCCCGCGACCAGGCTAATGAGCTGCAGGCTGCCTCGCGATCCGGGCAGTATCGCACCGGCTGGTTGGCCATGCGGCGTCGGTCGCTGCAGCGAGGAGATACGGCCGGCGCGCACATCCGCCGTCTGAGCGTCCGCGTCGCCGACCTGGCTGACGAACGCGATCTAGCGGTCCGGGAGCGTGACGAGCGTGCGGTGGTCTGGAGGCGCATGCTTCGAGACGCGCTCCGGAGCCGAGAGTTGGCTCAGCGCGTGCGCGACGACCTGGCCGGTAAACTGGCCAACTCCGTTTCGTCGGTAGGCGGTACCATCGACACCGCCGACTTGATCCGCCACCTCGAAGCTACCTACGCAGCGGAAGTGAACGCTGCCATTCCCCTTCCTCCTGCCGATCTCGCCGGGGCCACGCCTGTGGCTGTGTCCGTCGCGTCGCCTCCTGTTGTTGTCGCTGGGTCGTCCGGGTCAGCCCCCAGCTCTGGCACCGTACCTTCGTCGAGTGTTTTGGCTCAGCAGCCGTCTTCCTCTGTCGGTACTCCGGCCCCTGTTCAGGTTCCGGTGTCTCCCTCGGCTTCGTCATTGTCGGGTACACGTCGGCCTCAACCCAGTGGAGCCAGGCCTTCAGGCTCTCCGCACCCTTCTTCGATCTGCGCAGGGCTCCCGGCGACCTCCACGTCGAGTTCTTCGCCACGGCGTCGGAGCCAGCGGGCTTCTACAAGGGCTGACACCGCAGCCTCGACCAGCGCGGCCGCTCAAGCTTCTCCTGTCACGTCGTCGTCGTCGGCGGCTGTGGCTGCGGCGCGTGCTCGTGCAGACGCGTCTCTCTTCGGTTCGGAGTCCTCGGAGAGTGACGCTGGGGCGCACTCTCCTCAGCCAAAACGCCGTCGTTTGCGAAGCCCTTCTTCCCGCTCGCGTTCTTCGCTGCGTTCACGTTCTCGATCGACTTCGCGCCCGCGCTCCCGTTCGGCCTCGGCGTCGTGTTCGGCGTCGCGTTCATCGTCCGTTCCTCGTCGCGCTCGTCGGATCGCCCCGTCGGCTCGGCGCGTTCCGCGGGGTCGGCTGCTTCCACTCATTCGACCCGCTCGCGTCGGCCGGCGTCGCCTTCGTGGTCGGCACGTTCTCCCACGCGAGCTTCTCCCACGCAAGGTCGGCGACCGTCTCAGGCTGGTTCGGCGACTCACTCCGGCGGGCCTGATGACTCCGACGGCGGCGATTCGTCCTCGTCGTCTTCTGCCCGCTCTTCGTCTTCCAGTTCCGTGTCCTGTGGCTCGGAGGGACCCGCCCCCGTGGTGCCGTTCTTCGTTCCGGTAATCCCCCCGGCTGGCACGCCTTCGGGTTGGACACAGCGTCGCTATTTTCCATGGCCCAAGTCCGTACGTCGTCTTCGGCTCCACACCATCACGGCTCGCGAATTGCGAGCGCGCTTCTTGCCACCGCGGGTTGGATCTGCCCCCGCGCGCCTGTCCCTGAACCGGCGAACTGGAACCGAGCCTTGGTGACACGTGCCAACGTTGACGCGTTGTACGCCACGCGGCCATGGCGCTACTTGGCTCAGGAAGTGGAGTCGGTGCTGTTCGCGTCGGGCGACGCCGCGTTCTAGCCGTTCATGCGTCGACTTCGGCACCACGTCGAGCGCTGGGCACAGGCGTACTGGGAGTCTACTCATGAGCTCCATGTGCCTGGCGCTGCGTGGCGTTCGTGGCGTTCGTCTCGGAACTCCCGTCGGTCGCACGCAGGCGACCACCTGAACAGTCTCCTCCAGCTGGTGGTCGACTTGTTTCGCCGTGGGCTCGCCGACATGGACTTGCTTCTGGACCCCGCGGTTCTTCACTTTCCACCGGCGCACCCACGAATCGGACGGTGGTTTCCGGGCCTTTAGCACACGACGCTGCAGGAAGCGCTCGACGACGTTGACGCCCAGGAGCCTTGGCGTCGCTTCCACCGAACGCCGCTCACCGTCGCGCAGATGGATGCCAACGTGCGTTGTCGCGTGACGCGTGCCCACCACGCTTACCTCGTGCCTCGCCTTGCAGGCAAGTTCGTCCAGCAGGTTTGAGCGTAGCCCGTTACTTTGGTGTAGCTCGTAGCCGTAACTTCAATGCATCCCCTTGACACCTTCCCTCTTTTCTTTCTCTTTTTCACATCTTTTATTATGAGACGGCCCTCCGCCGTCCCATCTTCAGCAACAGGCTGGTCCTCCTCACTTCCCTCATCCAAGCCCTCGCTCCGGCCATTCCCAGAGTCGAGGCTACCCACCAGTCCTCCCGTCGGCAGCCCCCCCTGCCGACTTAGTCGCACCCGTGGGCGCTCACCCACCAGGATCCGCCGCCTCCGCGTTCTCGTGCGACTGCATCGCCTCGAACCGGTTGCGTCCCGTGCGCTGGCGCAGGAAGTCGTACAGCAACCCGCCGCGATTCAGATCGAGCTCGTCGACCCATGTCGTGTCCGGGTAGCCCTTCCATTTGACTTCGAACTCGCGTCGCGTGCGTCCATACCGGGTAGCCCGCCCCTCGCGCACGTTCACGATCTTCTCGACCTCGAAGACGTCATCCTCCAGCTCGCGCGTGGCTTCCCAGCTATCCTCCGGCAAGAGCTCCTCGTCGAAGTCGAAGCGCTCTTCGGCCGGCACCGTCAGCTGCGTCGCGGGTCGCGACGGGAATTCCCGGACGGGCTTCAGCTTGGAGATGTGGACGACTGGGTACAGCTGGTAGGGCGTACCCGCCGTCTCGAGGCGCACTGCGAACGCGCTGACCAGCTCGGCGACGCGGAAGGGTAGGTGCCACATGTGCGCGAGTTTGCGCGCATACCCCGGCTTTACCCGATCCAGGTACAGCCAAACTTGCGAGCCCGTCGCGATCTCATATTGCGTCGTGTTTTCAGTTTGTCGACGCGCTCTCTCTTCGACGGCCTCTCGGACTAACTCCAACGCTTGTGCCCATGCCACCTTGTAGTGTCGCTGAATACGGAGTCTCCACCGCCTCGCCTCGGCGTCCCGGGTCGACGTGTTCCCGACGGCCAGCGTTGCTTCCAGCGTCGACCGAGGATCCCAGCCGTGCACTAAGAAGAACGGGGCTTCGTTCCTCGTCCGGTCGTGCGACGTGTTTAGCGCGAAGGTAAGACGCTCGGCGTATTCGTCCCAGTCGCGTTGGTCGACGTCCGCAATGTCCATCTTGATCGCTCTTGTAACCGTCTGCACCATGCGTTCTGCAGCACCGTTGGCTTGGGGACAATAAGCGAGCGTCGCTCGCTGTCTCTGACCCATGAGTTTGCTGAACGCCTTGAAGAAGTCGGACATGAAGCCCGGCTCGCGGTCGTGGCGGATTGCCTCGCTCGCGCCGAAGCGCCTGAACACCGCCTCCTCGTATGCCTCGGCCACCGTCTGCGCGGTTCGTGACGCGTTCGCTTTAACCACGACGAACCCCGTGAAGAGGTCGACCCAGACTAACAGCTCTGTGTTGCCTTTGTAGGATGCCGGCAACGACGGAATATGGTCCATGGCGATGACCTGGAACGGGTACGTCGCGACTATGTTGCCCGGCGACTCGCCCTGGATGGTCGGCCGACCCTTTCCCGTCTCGCAGTCGGTGCATTCGTCGACGTAGCGCTGGACGCTTCTGAAGATCCCTGGCCAATGGAAGTGGCGCCTCACGCGTTGGTACGTGGGGCCAATACCCTGGTGTCCGCCTTCCAGGCTCGCGTGATAGTGGTGGAGTACATCTTCCCGAAGAGTCTCCGGGATCACCAGCTTCATCATCACATCGCGATCCTCGGCGGAATCGTCGCTTCTCGGCTAGTAGTAGAGCAGCCCGCCTTCGCCCTCTTCGTACTGAGGTGCAAGCTTTTGGCAGTTCTTCACCTCGCGCCGAGATAGGTCTCCGACGTCGCCGCGGAGATACTTCTTGAGGTTGACGATCCAGACCTCTTCGTCCTGGGCGACGTGGATGCGGTCCAGGCGCAGTCGTTGCACCACCCGCTCCTCCAGGACTTCTGGAGGACGGGCCCTACGTGTTGTCGTGCGTGCGGCAGCCGAGCGCGTCGTCACCGCGAGGACTTGTGCTGTCCCGCGTCCCGCGTCCATGGCCTTCCCGGCGGGGTCATCTGCGCCGCGCGTTTTCGTGTCGCGATTTTCCGCGTCGCGATTTTCCGCGTCGGGACTGGCTGGAGACGCCATCTCGGGACTCGATGCCCGTGGTCGGATGACTTCTTCCAAGCGATTCAGCGTCTTCAGATCTTGAATCTCTTCGGGGCTGTGCGCGTTGCGACCTCCTTGACGCTGCAGAGCTTGTCCAGCCAGCATGTCGGCACTCGCGTTCCAGTCTCGTCGTACGTGGAAGAGTTCGTGGCGCGGCCATGCCTGGAGTGCGTTTCGCGTCTTTTGTCGCAGCAGCTTCAGCCCCGGGGACTTGCAGCCCATCTCGTCCCGCATCTGCCTGATGACAAGGTTGGAGTCTCCGCATACAACGAATCGGGTGACGTCGTCGAGTTCCTCTAGAAGAGAACATCCGAGCAGCAGCCCGCGGTATTCCGCCTCGTTGACCGTGAGGTCCGTCGCATATCCTGACGCGGCGCGCACGATCTCCCAGTTCGGCAGCTGCCAAATGACAGCACTGTATGCTCCGCCTTCTCGCTTCGCCTTGGCCGATCCGTCAAAGCTCAAAACGTGCAAGACCTCGTCGCGCGCCACGTCGGGGACTGGAATGACTACAATCCTGGACGCCCGTTTCCGCGGGGCGATCTCTTCTAGCGCCGCGTCGACGAAGGCTCGCGGGGTAATGCTCGCGGCCAGCGCGCCGAGGTGTTCTTCTTCTCCCTTCATGGATCGGCAGATTTCCAACTTCCACGGCGAGAGGATCGCGGCCCACTGTGACAGTCGCCCTTGTAGTCCTTTGGACCGGAACAACCAGGCGAGTGTCGTGTGACGTGTTAAGACACGGACTGGTCTCCCTGCTAGCATCATGTAGCACTCGTTTAAGACGCGCAACAGGGCCAAGATCTCCTTTTCGACGATGTCGTAGTTCAGGTCGTTGGGCTTCAACGTACGACTGGTGAACTTCACAGGCATGTACACTTCGTCGTGGACCTGCGTGAGCACCCCTGATATGGCCCAGTTGCTGGCGTACACGATCACGACGGATTCTCGGTTCGCGTCGAAGTGTTTCAACATTGGGGTCTCGGCGAGTTTTGCCTTGAGCGCGTCGAAGGCTCGCGTCGCGTGCGTCCACTTCTCATGCCCGCGGACTTCTGGACGCGTGACGTACTCGTTGAAGTCGGTCTCCGTCAGCGAATACAGCGCGGTTACATACACCGCAAAGTCTGCAATGAACCGGTGGTAGTAATTGAGGCTACCCAAGAACGATTGCAGGTCCTTGAGTGTGCGCGAGAACTCGAGCAACATCAGCGACTCCAGATTCTTCGACGGAAAATGGAGAGAACCGGGACGCAAGTCTCGTTGCGATCGGTATTGATGAAGATGATGATGATAAACGTGATGGACACCCGACCGAGGCTTTGATCACAAGTCTAGCCCAGATAAGGGGGCCACCTCGGAACCTCGTTCGGGAGGTGAAATTACTGCCCGGTGAGAGACTGGGGTGGTGGTCGTCCCAACGATACGACAAGAGGAAGCGAATGAGGGCTTTGGTCAATGGCGCAGTGGACGACGCGCGAACGAGGATACTCCTTGACACTGGAGCGAATGTTAGCGTGATTTCTACCAGCTTCGCCA